TGTGCGTGTTGTGCTATGCGATTCAATTTTGGTAATGGCTGTTGGAATTTATTTTTATTTCAGGAAATCAATTAAGTACTTTAAATTGTTCAAATTGTGTTTGAAATTTAAGGGCAAATAGATATGGAAAAAAGTTGATTTCTTAATTGCAAAGATTTTTATTGGATTGTAAATGGATATAGACTGCGCTAAATATCATGATATAACCCGCTAAAGGATAGTATAGGAGAGGAAGGAAGAGAAAGAGATGATGAAATATGTATATGAAGAAAGATAAGATAGAATAAAGATAATAAGATACAATAAAGAAATAATGAGAGAGAAAGAGACGAATGGAAAGAAACAAAGTGAAAGAGAGAGGGAACAATATATTTGGAGAAAGAGTAAGAGTGCGAAATAGTCACAAAGACTGACTAACAGAGGGAGAGAGAAAGAGGGATAGAGGGAGACAAATAGAGACAGAGAGAGAGAGAGAAAAAAAGATAGAGAGGAAGAGTGAGAAATAAGGTTAAAGAGATAAAGGAATAGAGAAAGAGAGCAGGAGAGTGTGAAATATATAGATACATAGAAGATGGAAAATAAATAACAAAAAGAAGACAAAGTCAACGAAAGAGGCTGATTATTGAGAGATGCGGACACGCAGAGTTAGTAAGAGAATTTTGGAGTAGGTATAAGTGTTAGAAAAAGAAACGTAGAGAGCTGCATACAGTCACAGAGACAGAGAGAAAGGTAAATTGAGAGCGCGGGAATGCGAGTATGAGAAAGAGATAGGTAGGTCGATTACAAAGGCTTTACTAAGACCTATAAATAAAATAAATAAAAATTAAGTTAATAAATAAAACTATAATTAAATATATAAATATTGAAATATATAAATAAATAAATAATAAATAAAGAGGTAACAAAAAAGAAAACAAATAAATGTTTTTTCTGAACTACAAACTGTTCGATTTTGAGCTTTTGCCATATATGTATATATATGTATGTATGTATACAGCATAACCTTACACTATTTTTGCCACACCCAAGCTGTGTGCCCCGAACTTTTCTTTGTCACTCAATAAATATCTCAAAATGGGCGGGTCAATATCTAAATCGCTTTATGACCAACATCATGGACAATTTGCCGCCCAAAGGGCCAAAACTTTTATTGTCTGACCAAAGAGAGAGAAAATAAAAGAAAAAGAAGAAGGAAACTTTAGATTGCCAATTGCCAATTGCTTAACTGTCTGAAGAGAGGGCCACTTAAAGTTGTGTTATGCTTAAAGCTCGCCAGTCAGCTAATTATATAACGTTTATTTGAGCTCAACTTCTGCTAAGATTTATGCCTCTGCTGCACAATTCAATCTGGGCATATTTCAATATCATATTCTGGGCGGATTCCATTCGAATTTTACGCAGATTTGTCGCGCTCTCTGCTATCTGCAGGCGGCAAGGAGACACACTTTAGCATATCAACAAATACGCTTATGTCCTTGTGGCGGTAACCGAGCGCCTCAGCCTGCCTCCGCGCCCAACTGGCAGACATCAACCACCCGCCAGTTAAGGACTCTGCAAAGGGTCCTGCTACTTGGCTTCCTTTACGCATTTTTCTTCATTCCTTTTCTTGTTGGTTGAATAAATCATTATTCGTCGTTGCGTTTATTTTGACTTTGACAGCACAAACACTCTTGTGTGTGTGTGTGTGTGTGTGAGTTTGCTATTTATGCAAAAAAAAACATATATATATATACATAAGTATTCCTCTCCAGTCATGTCTCTTAAATTGTCATTAGACTTTAAATACAAGCTTAATAGTTATGTAAAATTAAAGCTGCGCATTTGCATAATTTGTTTACCCTCTCTTGTTCTCATTATCTCAATCTCAAGCTACATTTGGGCTACATTTAATTAATATATTTTATAAATCACGGCCCGCTCATCCTTGTGTATCCTTCCACTTCTAGCCGCAGCTCCGGCTGCCGGACATAGCTGGACATTTGCTAAATGACCACAACACTTAGGCCAAGATTTATAATAGCCAAGTTGTTGTTTACTTTTGACTGCACACACACACACACAGCTCATGGGGAAGCTGTGCACAGTTCATTTAGCCGCGTGCCATTTGGCCAACCCAAATTACGAGCGTTGATTAGTTTGCTTAGCTTGGCTAAAAAATGAGCATGGCCCGGAGCGTTAAAAAACAGAGCTAGAGTTATTTGCAATAAATTTAAGTGTTATATGCTCTGAGCCCAGTTCGTGCCCCAAATGGCAAAAAGGTAACACCCCCAGTTACAGTTACAGTTACAGTTACAGTTTCTAATTTATGACAAATGCACATGCTCGTCTTGGAGTTTTTGAGACCTGAACCAAGCGAGCTGGACACTGAACGCCCCTCGTCCACGCCCCCTTTCGGTGACAGCATACAAAACTTATTTGTCGATGGCTTTTGCGGTTTTGCAATGCGGCGCAGATTTTCAATTTACTAAAATTTGCATTCCAAAATGTTGCGTCTAGTTTTCTGTCCCATACTTAAAAGTTATGAAACAACGTCTGTGTTTGTGTGTGTGTGTATGATATATGGCACAGCAGGCGGATCGGACAATGATATAGCGCAAGAGATAAATATTTCTGGACTGCATGGGCATGTTGTGCGGCTAAGCGAATTAATAAATTATAAAATTATGAAACTAAGCTTGAATAGATTGTGCGATAGAGAAAAATAAATAATGTAGTTAAAACTATATAAGTTATATAAAATAATGTATCGTTAAAAGTATTTAAGGTGTTATAAGTAAAGAATAATTTATTACTTATTATTACTCTTAAGAAATAATATTCTTAAATTGCCTTAAATATGTTTAATTAAATTAAACTGAAGAAATCTAGTTATTAATTTTATATACAACATAATTAGCTTGAAAAAACATTCTTAAATTTAATTTCCATAAATTTGTTAACAGTTTTTATATATCTGTAGCAAGACGAAGAGCTAGTTCTGGTCGTCTGCTTTTAATATGAATGCAACGATCTCGAAGCCGAAGAGGCCTGGAATTTGAAAAAAGTATTCTCTTATAAGATATTGATCTAGTTTTCTTTCCATCATTTGAACCCTAATGATTATCGATTTTTACAGATATTTTATATTTTAGAATATAGTTTTGCATAATAAATAATCTATTTTAATGAATTTTATGTTTTATATGTAATAATAATTATAAACACTTACGTAATAAAATTGTTTTCAAGCAATGTTTGATTATAATACTTACTTGCTAAATAAGAGCTTAGATTCAATAACAATTATTTAAAATATCGGAATATAATGAATACACAAATGCAAATAATAATATTATATGATTGCATAGAAGTTCGTGTCACGTCAAAAGCACGACAATCGCACTTCTCTAGCAGCCTCTACTATTTGACTGCTTATAAACAAAAAACAAAAACCGTCACCAAAATATTTCCTAGTTATGCTTATCTATTTCGCTGGCATCTTCGTCTTCGCGGCGCATGCCAGTCCCCTGCCTCCATTCCCCCACTTGCCCTCACCCAACTGTGTGTGTGTGTGTGTGTGGAGCATGTCAAATTATTTGTATATAATTTACATCCTTTTGCAGGTCCTGCCAAGTGATTTATGTGCGTCTTATGCCAGCACACAATGTGAGCAAATGCCGCTACTATAAATAAATATGCCAAGCGACATTCCAACCAGAGCCAGACACAAGTTGTTGGCCTCAGCACTATTATCCTTTTCGCAGGCTAAGTAATTGCTGACTGTTGCCATTTGAGCGCTGAGTTATTTCTTTTCGATACCGAAATTTGATATGCCGACCACATGCTGTGTTTAAATTGCTCTGCCAGCTCCAGGATATCGGAGGTGTATTTATGTGCGCCCCCCTCCCTTCCTCCCGCGTCAGCTTAGCTCTTGTAATTGAAAATATAGTTTTTGGCACGGAGCAACAGAGCCAGAGGCGTGTCTCAGATTTTACAAGCTGATTAGATATCCCAGTGCAGACCTGAAGACACAAAAAGTGGAAGCAAATGGTTTATATATTCGCTTAAAATAGTTTTAGAGCTGATGCTATTTACAAAGAGTCTAAGAGAATCATTTTATGCTCATTCCCTCGATTCCCTTAGTCCAGCTGAATGAATGAATAAATGATATGAAACACGATCTTAGTGAACATCAATGCCAGACGATTCTGTAACTCATGATTTCCACTTTAAATTTCAAATCAAAACTATTTATGTCAACACGATATCTCTCGCTCTTTCTTTTATTCTCTCCCTCTCTTTCTTGATCTCCTCTCTTTCGCACTCTTTCTTAACGATAATGGCTATTCATGAAATGCTTTTTAAGATTATGTCATTAACATTGCAACTTGTGCCGGGAACTGGTTCTGGTTCTGATTCTGATTCAAGTTCTAGCTCTACTGCTACCATCCCAGCCCTGTAGAGCGGGGCATCCGATGTCTCTAGTCTTTAGTCCAAGTCGTAATTATGGCATATTTTAATTGCATTTTGAAATTGTTATTGGAATAGTATTGGCATTAAGTGCTTGTAAATATCTAGATACAATTATTTCATTAAATGGGGTTCTAAGCATCGAATATGCTGTATTTCTTCAGAGTTGTTGGAAATTGAAATATGCTGTGTGGCAGAATCCTCAGTACATTGATCTTGAAATACAAATATGATTTCTATAACTTCTCTACTTCAAAAAATGTCTTAAAATGAAGCTGAAGCAACTAAAAACCAGCTTCAACTAGTTTTTGCTAATAATTCTCAAGCTGTTCAATCAGCAACTGTTTCAATTTACAACTGATCAATTCGATCAATAATAGAAAAATACTACAAAATCTCAGATAAGCAACATGTTTGGCTCGAAGCGTATCGGGAACACTTTAGATGCGGCTGCGGAACGAACTAGTTTATGGCCGCAACTAATGAACACTTGAGATAAATTAGCTAACATTGGCACATGATGTTTAGACTTTTGAAAGGTTTCGTTAAAAATGCATCAAAAACTTCTTAGCTGCCTGGCTCTGGCTGTGGCCCTCTCTCAACTCCTTATGCCTGCGACTGGAGAATCCTATGAAGTGGACAGACATAATGTGAGTGAGCTAGTTGACTCGCACGAACTCGTTCTGCTGCTCTTCTACTCGAATAGATGCAAATACAGCCGGCAACTGATGCCCATCTATGAGTCGGCCGCAAGCCAACTGCACTCTAGACTTGGAGGGACGGGCAATTTGGCTCTGGGCAAGGTCGATTGCGACAGGGATCCTGAAATGGAGAGTCACTACGATATTGGCAAGTATCCAACCATAAAGATCGTGCGGAACAAATACGTCAACAAAAAAGAGTATCGAGGACAACGCTCCGTGGAGGCGATCGTGTCGTTTGCACTGGAGGAGCTGCTGGATCCTATACAGGAGTTTGTCTCTCTGAATGAGCTGTACGATCTAAATACCCAAAAGTATCTGGTGATTGGACACTACGAAAGGAACTCTCATGAGGAGTATAAGGCTTTTCGCAGGGCTGCGAGTAATATGAAGGATCACTGTCAGTTCCATGTGAAGTTCACTGAGGCTAGTGGTCCGAATTCGTTGACGTTCCAAGAGCACTTGAATCACACAGAGTCGCTGAGCCTGTTCACCGGCAACATGTCCAGCCAGGAAGAGCTGATGAAGTGGTTTACTACGAAGTGTATACCCATTGTGCGTGAGCTGACATTCAGCAATGCCGAGGAACTCACGGAAGAGGGCAGACTCTTTGTTATACTTTTCCATAACCCTCAAGATAAAAAATCTCCAAAGGATTTCAAGAAAGTAGTGCATACCGAACTGATGGATGAAGTGGATAAGGTGATCTTTCTGACTGCCGATGGAATATTATTTGCGAGTCCTCTCCTCCATATGAACAAAACGGAGGCCGACCTACCCTTCATAGCTATAGACTCGTTCGCGCATATGTATCCCTTTCCCGAATTCGAAGATCTATACAAGCCGGGAAAATTGAGAGAGTTCGTAAAACAGCTCCACACGGGTGACTTGCATTGGAACTATCATTTCTCGGAGTTCATGAACTCTATTGATGACAACGAAGATGATATTGCGGTTCCCTCACTGCTGCCGCCGGCTTCTAAGTTCATTGAGCTGAGACCCTCCAAACATCGCTATACATTCGCCAGGGATGAGCTCTGATATGAAGAAGGAATTGAAAAAAAATTTTAAGTATATATGAAGATCACTTGAAACAAAATGAAATATTGATATGAAACTATAAAAATCTGTGCTAGTAGCAAAGAAGAATGAAGAGTTGTAAAATTAATTGAAAAGCTTGTTATCAAATCACACTTAAAGATCAATAATAATATTTTTTTAAATCCTATTGTCTTATAATACTTAAGAACTAATGACTAATGACTAATGTCTAATGACTAGTGACTAATGTCTAATGACTAGTGACTAGTGACTAGTGACTAGTGACTAATTACTAATGACTAATGACTAATGACTAATGACTAATGACTAATGACTAATGACTAATGACTAATGACTAATGACTAATGACTAATGACTAATGACTAATGACTAATGACTAATGACTAATGACTAATGACTAATGACTAATGACTAATGACTAATGACTAATGACTAATGACTAATGACTAATGACTAATGACTAATGACTAATGACTAATGACTAATGACTAATGACTAATGACTAATGACTAATGACAATGACTAATGACTAATGACTAATGACTAATGACTAATGACTAATGACTAATGACTAATGACTAATGACTAATGACTAAAAAATTGTGTTTATGAAATGATCTTGATCATCAGGCTCAGAATCAACATTGACATCCCTTTTTCCACTACTGCAGAAAAATCGGAACCTAACGATTCCTTATAATTGTGAATATTTCGGATTTCTAATAACGTCTCCATAGAAGAGCTAGTCTCTGCGCATGCATTGAGTATGCAGACGACTGTAGAACGCTCGCACCTAGTTGGACATTCAGAGTCTGATTATGGATGCTGCGACAAATCGAACACCAGCATATATGGGCATGCCTGGCCATTGAGAACCAACTAAAGAGCTGGCACGCGTCTGCAGAGGAGAATGTGTGCTGGTTCCTGGAACCAGATCATAAGAACGCAAAGCATTTGAATATGCGAGACGAGCAGGAATGCTAATGAACTCATTAGTGAAACAAAGTGGGCAGCGAGTGCAGTCTGGAACTATCACTGGAACTGGAACTGGTTCGCGTACCCCTGGGGCATTGCTCGTATATGGAAGCGCCATAGAGCAAACACTTTTACTCATAAATTGTCATAATTAATAATAAATTTATGGACAGTTGGGCAGTTGGGCAGTTGGGAACTACCATAAGGAGCACCGAGCTGGATCGCGACGGAACCAACTTTGGAGCCCAGTTCTAATGAGCGTCAAGAGCGCGTGCCGTGCCACATGTGCCAAATGCGGCACCTCGCGTAGGCCACGAGCTACAATTACCAGAGTTTTCCATAGTCGGTGCTCGGTGGCTCGTTTTGGACTGGCAGCTGCCCCACCAAATAGGTGTTGAGCCACCAGCACCACCAGCACCGCCATCACCATTAAAGCACCAACCCATCCCAGTGACCATGCCCACCATAAATAACTGTCAATAAATGTCAACGTTTTTGGGGCGCATTAACATAGAAGCTAAGCCGATTCCGCTGACAGCTGCTGACGCATGCCCCAAGATGTGGCAGCATCTGCAGCTGTATCTGTATCTGTATCTGTATCTGTGTCTGTGTCTCAGTCTCTATCTTAAGCTGTATCTGGCCATCCATCGCTGTCAGCGTCTGTCGTGGCGCAATTGATTTAATCGCCTTTTAATCGCCTACGCCTCACCTGCCCGGGCCGAACTGCCCAATTACCTGGTCGACTCGTTAGTTACCTGCGGAAGTCACGTGCGGAAGTTTTGCTTTATTTTCAAGTACCTTCCCGACTTTCCCGGCCCTATAGCGGCTACTCACATGCAAGTTCTATATTAAAGCTAATTTGGCTTCCGTTTAACATTTACACACTTTGATTTTCCGTTGCAATTAACCCAAATTTTGATTTTTTACAATATATTGAAGTTTATTATATGAAGTACCGCCTAAATTATGATGATTCTCGGGTATTACTACTCAAACTAGGTTAAACTGTTGGAGAACATATACGATTTGGAGATCGTTTCTTATTTAGTTTCTAAGAGAGAGGCTCTCTAATGGTTTACAGACTTTAAATTAAGTAGAGCTCTGATTCCAAGTAAAAATACACGAAATACTTTTAGCTTAGAGATGAGCTTTATTATAAAGAATAAGCTCATTTTCTATATACACTCACAATACTGCAGCTTAAAGCTTGATCAGTGACACGCAAAATGCGCCAATAGAAACGCAAAACGAGTTCAATTTACAGTTAGCGACAAAAATGAAGAGAGACGAAGACAAACACAAGACAAACACAAAAACAAATACAAATACAAATGCAATCGCAATTGCAATTGCAGCTGTAATTGTAATGTGTGATATTTCAATTAAAAACTAACGGCACAAGTCATTAAATGACATATACAACATGTACACAACTCAGCCTGTGTGTATGTGTGTGTGTGAGTGCTCAACATATTCAAAGTTGAGCGCAATCAAATGCGCTGATTCCAATTGCAAGTTCTGCGCGCACAAAAAGCCGTTTACGTCCGCCATAAAAAACACAAACAAAACGTTTTTGTTTAATTAAATTAACAAAATACGCGACCGATAGCCAAACAAAAACTCGCATATTTTGCACGCCAGCAACAGCAGCAACAACAGCAACAACACGTGTCTGCTGCTTCGTCAACTAACCTACTCAAAGAGCGAGAGAGCGCCGCTGATGCGCGCTCTCTTAAAATGAACGCGTTGCTGCTTGCACTGCTTGCCCACAGGCCTGACCTGCGCTCTCTCGCTTGCACAGCCCCAACTTGGTTGCCTGTTCAAGTCCATTTGTCTTGTGGCTCGCTCGCACCTGAGCGCTGGTCCGTAAGTGGCGTTGCTATCTCGCTCGCCGACTGGTTTCAACCCGTTTCAGCCAATCGGCAAAAAGCGACTCGCCATGTGCGCACCGCACACAAAAAAGGCGGAGCACAAGTGCATTCCCTTGCTCCCTCGCACCCCCGGCTGAGGCTCGTAGGTGCCCGGGCCCTATGACGCAGCGCGGCAATGGCGGAGGAGCAGCGCTGCCAGCCTGTCTGTCAACCAATTTGGCGTCCATGACCAACCATGACGACTTCAGCTCCAACTCCAACTCCGACTCCAACTCCGATTCGAGCGTCGACAACAAATGCTGCGGCTTTACATTTTGACATTTCGCACGCACAGCTGTTCCTGCTGCTCCCGTTTGCAGCCTTCTCGAGTCCTGCTGCGGTTTTGCAATATGTGAAATGCATTTTCGAAGATTTCCCACTGCGGTTTCCACTGCTAATTGCACGTTTTCTCCAGCAACTAAACAAAGCAAAGTAAAAACTTTTATTGCTGTCGGTTTTTGTGCTTTTGTGCTTTTAGTTCATTAAACTGTTTCAAATCAAATTAAATTTTTCGGTTCATTTTAAGATACAATTCGAATCGTCTCGATGGTGGCTAAAGAATTTTTATATGTACAAAATGTGTCTTTAAGTATAATTCCATAAATTATAAAAAGTTACAAATGGTAGCTGATTAACAATTCGGCCATGGATTATTCTTATTTAAGATAATCATGTGTAGAAAATGTTGCCATTTTTTTGGTTTTCTATAACTTAAATTTTTTCAATTGTGCTAATATCTAAATTAAAAGAAGATGGCTGTGATGATTATATAACATTTTTAAAAGAATATTTAAATAATTACTTTAATATATAATTTTTTTTTTTTTAATTGATTTTATTTCACTATATATTTTGTTATTTCAATATACTTTGGTTAGCTATGTATAATCTAAGGAATTATTCATATTAATGTTATATATAATATATATATATATATTTGTAATATTATTGGCTGGTAATAATTGGAGAGATCAATATGTAATTTTTTCCCAAATTTTTAGAAATGGTAATAAAAATAAAAGAAACAAAGTTTTTTGTATAATATTGTCTTAGAATAGTTACATAAAAGATAAAAAGAATTTTAAAAAATAAAATTAAATAAATAAATAAAGTAAAGGCAGTTCGAATTAAAAAAAAATATATATATATATATATATATATAGATATATATAGACCGATATATCCTAAGTGCTCTCAAATGTATTTAAAATGATCTCTAAATATTTATTGTAAAATTTATAATACTTAATTTTTATAGCTTTGTAATATTTAATAATTCAAATAAAAAGTAGGTAATATTATATTTTTTGTATTTTAAAATAATAATGCGCTTAGCTAATTTTATAGCTTGCATTAAAATTTAAAAAAATAAAAATTTTACAATATAAAAATATATTTAACATACTTGATTCTATATTAAAATATGTAAATGTTTACATACTTTTAAAAAATATAATAAATAATAAAATGTATTCAAAAACACTTGTACAGAATTCTTATCTCTCTCTGAAAAATTTGAATTTCCAATAGAATTTTAATATTTTATTTGGTTTTGAGTCTCAATAAAGTGAGGTGACACAACGCCAGTGTAATGCCTGCTGAAGAGCCATCAAAAACCCATTTGAGAATATCAAAACAGAATCAAATAATACAATATGTTGCCCTATGTGGAAAGTGGTTTAAATTGCATTGATGACAGTGCAAACAGTTGGAATGACAGACGCGATAAGCTCGCCATTAATAGAGGCCAAACAAATGGAAATTCAGCACGAACTAATGTCGAGGCTTGCCAGAGAAATAATTGACAAAAAAAAAAAAAAAAAAAAAAAAACAGTTATACTAATCGCGTTGTTGTAGTTGCCGTTGATTGAATGAAATAATCAAATTAGCCGATAAGCGCCGGGCAGCGCTGCCAGCGCTCAGGTGAAAATGCACTTTGCAGCTTTATTATGATTATTGTTTGCCGTCGCGAATCGTAGCGCTAAATAAAGCAATTTCCTAGTAATGCAAAAATGGCAAACATTACAGCATTGCGAGCGTTTCGCATTCCATTTGCAGCGGCCCCCATGTACCATAATATTCCCCAAAGGTGGCAACGTTGCAGTTGCTGTTGCATTGATTAACTAACTTGCCATTGCATAATGCCATGCAGCTCGACTCTTTATTTTCATTTCATTTAATTTTTTAATTTTATGCAGGCGATTTTCCCCTACGGAATTGTTGCAGTTGTCAGCCGAGCCCAAAAATCCTCTTCAACAAGAGCAACAACAACAACAACAGCAGCAGCAACAGCGATGACGAGCAAAGCAGCCATAGCCAAAGAGCGAAGAGAGCAGCTGCATGTAAAAACTGCCAATGCTGCCAGACGCTGCACGAAAAGGAAACAAAAAATGCCAATCCAAAGGCGAGCAGCCGGAGAGACAATACAAAAACGAAAACGAAAAAAAAAAAATTGCTTCGTCAAGTGCTCCAATAAAAATTCCGCCGCCTTTGGCGCGCGCTGCACTGCTCGCTCCTCAGCATTGGCTGCGCTGCTGCTGCCGCCTGTTGTCTCGCTCAGTCATCTTTTTTTCGCTTAAGAGAGCGTCCTCTGCGCTTTTTGCGCCGCTCGCTCTTGAGCTTTCGTTTGAGTGTTTTTATGTGCACTTGAAATGAATACGTGCGATTATTGGCCGCGTGTGAGAAAAGAAAAAAAATTGAGCGAAGCTGAAAAAAAGCGCATTTATACGGTTATGTATTTGATTTTCGTTTTTGCTAACGGCTCTTGCAGACAAAAAGAGAAAAAAGATTTTAATTTGAATATTACATGTATTAAAAACTCATTATTGTTGCCCGATCCGCAAAAGTTGGTCAATGGGCTAATGTGCGTCCAACGCGGCGGATGCTTTTCTGCCTCTTTTTTTTTTTTTTTTGTCTGTGTATTTTTTTACTACTGTAGTACGCCCACTGTTGCCAGCGAGTAACCCTGAAATGGAGAGGCTTCGCTGTGGCGTGCAACACTTCTTCGATCCACGCTTTTTACTGGCTCGGATGAAAAGATATTTATATTCATTTAGTTTAGTTACTTCTACGATCTATTTATAAAGAGTTAAGAATTTGGGCTATTATTTATTCCAAAATTTGTTTGACTATTCAAAATATATCTACTAATAATAAATTTCGGTTTCTTGACAATTGATTTACAATGGTGTAAAACTTAAGATATATAATGATAAATAATAAATCTTTGGTATCATAAAAATATTTTTTCTTTAAGCGTAGTAAATAAAGACATATGATTTATTTCCATGTAACTAAGGTTTTCTCAAGAGCAATTAACAGTAATACAAGCTAAGACGACTAGCCGACCTTCCTAAATATATAAAATATTTTTCTCGGTTAATATTCTTATTATTATAGGAAAATTCGTACACTTCGCTCTGTATATTTTGCAACTTGTTCAAAAAACTCGCAGCAGAATTTTAATAACGTTTTCATACATATTATGTTGATTGATTTGTGATCTCACATTGGCTATATCTATATTGAACTTTAAATTCAAGAATCTTTTGTAATTATATAAGTAAAATAAACCGAATATTTTATATATTTAATAACCTATGTTCGATAGCGCTTTGATATGATTACATTGAAGACGGAATAGCTATCGACTATCTGAGTTTTATTTGTATGTTCAGTGCTTTAAGAGAACGAACCAACGGACAGGACTAGTTCGTTTCAGCTCCTCGTCCAGGTCAAGACTGTATGTGCCAGATATATACTTGTTTTAATAAAATCATTATACTCTTAGCTCTTATTTTTAACGTGATCTTATTTGAATTGGAATAGCTAAAGCATAATAAGCTATATAAAGTTGAGAATAACTAGATTTTATAAATATATTAATATCTTACAATTTTTACTATAGCTCTTTAATATGGAGAATTTTAACCATTGTATGAATACATACATATACATGCAGTAATATATTTTGTCATATCGCATACCTTAGCAATAAATAAACAATTTGTATAAGTTGTTCTGCAGGAATTCGTTCTTGACATGCATAACAGAATGTATTTTTTGTTAGTAATCTTAAGTGCAATAAATAAGAGAGTGAGGGACAGAAAGAAGCAAATCGACTATTTCACCCAGAGGCGATTCGTTAAATAGTTATCTCTAGGCTACGCCACAGCCTGATTCCGGTCAGCTCGCAGGCCATGCAGCATCCCAGGACGAAGATGACGATGGCGCGACCGATCTGTATTCCATATAATACATTACTCTGGGTGAGCTCATCTTCGCCGTTGAGGGGGACTCGAAGGCCTGGCTTATTGCGTCTAAATTGAGTTCGGGTTTCTTGGCTCGATGCAGTTGGATTGGCAGGAGGAGCAGGAGGAGGTGCATCCGACATGTTTAGCTTGCTTGGAGCTAAAAGAAGCTCTGTTATGGATTGTCAAAAATAAATTTCTACAAGACAATTTAAAATTTTTTAAAATTAACAACAATGACAATGAGTTAAAGACACGCCTACTTAAACCGTTAATTATAGCGGCGAGTAGAACTGTAACTTTCCATTTTACTAGCAGAATGACGCCCACGCCCACGCACACGCCTACGTCTAATGTGCAACACACGCTCAAAGAGCAAAAATCAAATCAAAGCAGCTCAAGAGCGCAGCAAAGCAAAAACCACAAACAACTTTTTTACCGTACAGAGAGCGTTTCCCAGAGAGCGCAAGCTGGAGAGACAGAAACAGTGCGAGAGAGAGAGAGAGAGAGGGAGAGTTGTGTTTGCTTTGCTTGCGCGCGCCAAACAGAAGCAAAAAGCTGCGCATGCGTCTCAGTGACCCCCCGCCCCGTCCCGCTTCCACACACAAAAAGCTGCTACGTCAGAGCGAGAGCGCGCAGCAGCCACAGCAAGAGCGCACGTCTCTATCGATGTGCAAGCGTGTGTGTGTGTGTGTGTGTGTGCTTGCTGCTGTCGACGTCGTCGTCGTCGTCGCAGTGGCTGCGATTTGGCGGCGAAGGCATTTGAATGTTTTTTTCGCTGGCTCAGCCAGCATTCGAGTTCGGAATTCTTGCGAGCTGGCAGCATAGTTTTTTGCGGGCCACAGACTATCGAGTAGCCACTGTAGCAGCCAGTGGCCAGCAGCCCAGCCCTGTGGACACTAGCAGCAGCAGCAGCAGCAGCAGTAGCAATCGCAGCAGCATCTCAGTGGACAGTGGACAATTTTCAGGCAGGCTCGAGTGGCAAGCGAGTGCGTTTTTTGTGTGCGAGCGCGCGTTACGTCAAGAATTTTGTTGCAGTCGCCAACTGCAACGCATTTTCGTCATACCGCAGCAGCAGTTGCAGCTGGCCCTTTGCTCTGCATTCACAATTAACAAGCGCGTTAAAAAAGTGCAACAACAACAACAACAAACAAGTGCAACATATTGTTAAACAGCTACAACAAGCAAAACAAAAAATAAAGAAAAAAGCCAAACCAATAAAAGTGCTCTTTGTGAATGAATATTGTGAATGCATACTGTGACGCCATTTTAATTACACTCAGAATAATAAAAGTGCATCTACTCGCTGTGCCTAATTGTCCAGCATCTTGCGCAAAAGTGAAAGTCTCAAGTAAATACAACAGAATAAAGATTAACTTAATCGCAATGAATGCCGCATTTGAGTGGGAGAGTTACAGGTCTTGGAGCTACAAAAGTAGTCGAAACTCTAGAGATTAGAAATAGAACATGAAGAGGGAACAAGGTATAAAATTTAGTAACTGTTGTTTAGACTGCGTAGCGAGCACTGATACAATATCTTAGACAATATTTCGATCCCTCAGTCGATAGTTTAGACAACGTTTCGAGTCTTCACAGGATAGTTTAGACTGTATTTGAGAGTCTTCAAACGATAATTAAAGAATTCCTATTAGAAAAATTACCCTAATTATTCTTTTGATTTTCTAAAATTTTTTTAAATATTTCGGTTTTTTTAATTTGTTCTGCATATTTACTAATAATATAAAAACGTTTCCATTTGATGATAATTTTAACTAATTTAAACACTATATATACTTTGTGCAACGCTGATCTAGATTTGACAAATCAATTCAGAAAGGAATCAACTTTAAAAACATAAAATTTGTCATATATTTTGTGAAAATTGTTTAAATTTATCCACCTCTTCATTTAGATTAAATCGAGTATTTTCCGAATTTTTTAGTATTTTCAAGGTCCGCTTTAAACCGAATATTAAAGTATTTCCATAGTTGATGTTGTATTAGCTATTAATATATCTAAAAAGACCTTAGAAAACCAGTTCAGTCAACGTAGAAACATAGAACTATCTTGCTTGAACATAACTAAGCTCTTAGAAGATATTCAGCTATAAAGGCGAATTTCTTATAATTTATTTAACAATAGATCCCATGATGATTGACATAATTTTCAGGCTCCAAAAGAAAGCTGTAAACCGAATCTGTGAGAAGATAAAATATATATGTTCCATGTGCTAATTTGACATCTGAAACTAAGCATCGAGTTAAACAACTAAAATCTTATACAGATTAAAGTTTAATAAAACCAACTAAAGGAAAACTAAATTTGAATAAAATCCTCATGATAAAAAACCAAGAAAAAAGTTATCAAATGCATTGCCTAAAGCAAAAAGTGTTTTATTGGTGAAAAGTGAAAATTGAATAAGAAATCGCACAGAAATAGTAATTTCTGAATCGAAAAATAGTGCTGCAAGTGCGAGAGATAGTGTTGAACAACGCCGCAGTCGATCGGCTAAATGATTATGCATGGTACCTGGTACAAAGGACCACAGCTGGCGCATCATCCACACACCGACTACCATCAGTTCCGATCGTATCCATCGTTCGTAGTGACGCCGTATCACGAGGGTCATGCGGCCACGCCCTGCCCACCAACGCCCTCAACGCCCTGCCACAGCAGCAGCAGCAGCAGCAGCAACCATGGACTCGGACTTGGTCTTGGACTTGGACTTGGTGTTGGAGTTGGACTTGGCCAGAGTGCAGCAGCCGAGCCGGCGCCAATAATTGTCGAGGGCACATTCGCTGCGGCCGCCGCTGCCGCCGCTGCTGCAGCTGCCGCGCATCCCGTTGCAACAGCTGCAACAGACGCCAGAGCTGCGCCCAGTCCGGCGATCAAGATCGAGCAGGTGTTCGGGGAGCAGACGTCGGGGCACTCAACGCTGGTCGAGGACTATGCCCTGGGCCTAGACTGTCCCGTGGAGCATCAGTTTCGGGTGAGTTGCCACATGCCGCCGCAAGGGGCGTGCCCCAAACCAATTTCCATCAAATCATCCAATAACACTTAAAAGCCACAAAAAAATGGGAGAGTCGCCAAAGGGCAGCGGCAAAAAGCCGACAGCGAGTAAAAAACATGACAACAAACACGCCCCCAAAAACACGCACACACACACACACCCGCGCACTCTTCGAGCGTGAGCGAACAAGCGAGCAATCGGGCGAGCGTGCGAGCGAGACAGCAACTGCTCGCTCTTAGCTTTGCTTGAAGAGCGTCGCAAATGTTTTGAGTGGGTTTTTTGCTCTCTTGAGTGCATTGGCTCAAAGCTTGCGTTGGGTTTTTATGGGCGCAGGACATTTTTTGTGCGGCGCTGGTTCGCGCACAGGATATGCCATAATTAGGCAGCGAAAGTGTTGCGCCCGAAAGCTTTCAGCAAAAAGCTCCGCAATTGAATTAACTAGCGCTCGAGCTGTTTGCTAAAGATAACGGTGCTAGCCACAGCAACAGGTGGCAGCTCGCAAATATCCTTTATGGCACAGCGGCAAACAACCTGTGGAGCCTTGTTGAGCCTTTGACGTTGACTGATGCAAGTCAGAGAGGGGCAGGTCAAGATTAGCGGAGAGTTTATTATGAGAGGAAATGAGTTTTAATGTGACGGGTGAATATTTAAGGGAAAGGGAAAATGATTTGTGGATTATTTTATTAACTTAATGTTTTATTTTTTAACAATATTATGTTATATAAAAGTGTTGTGTTTTATCTTGTTGATTGAGGAATACAGAACCAACTAGTTATTTTATACTTTAACATAATCAATTATAAAGTAAAAATTTATTTCATATATTTAATATTACATTTAGTATATATTTAAATAAACGTAGTTCATAATTAGGATATTGAAGGATATTTCACTAAATATATATAATATGACATTTTGTATATATTTAAGTAAACATAGTTCATAATTAGCAAACCACAGGAAATTAATTATATCTAGTAATTTATTAAAAATGTTGAGGGATGTTTCGGTTATTCTCGCATACAGACTGCAAGGAAAAAAAACGGTTAACAGTTATTTGCGAGCTATGTTCCTAAATTAACGAATATGTTATGTCAGTATTAATATTTAGTTATTTATTAGAGATTATAATTAATATAACATTTAAAATAACTTAAATACTAAGCACTGGCACCAGGGGACTTTGAACAGTTTCATAATAACTTTTAGCTATTTTAGTTTTCATTTCTATATTGTTTATTTCATCTTCTTCGAACTACTCTTTCTATTACTTATATTCCTATTATATTATATTCTTATATATTCTTTGCCTACTGAAATACTCCTCTCCCGAGTTTTACTTTTATTCTTTGCTAATCTTGTTTACCCTCTCCCTCTCTCTCTCACTCTCTTTCTCGATATTAGGATCTATATGTTATCTTAGCATATCATTGATCAAACTCATAGAGAGACAACTGTTATTTGCAGCATTTACTGTTTTGCTCACGCATAGCGCTTGTCCCTTTATTTCAATTATCCTGCAACGGGGCTGCGCTGCGCAAAGGCCACGTTCAGCTTTTGCTGCAGCCGTACATCCTTTGCCGTTGACAGCGAGTGCACAAGCAAGGCCATGCATGTCCATGTGTGTGTGCGTGTGGCAAATATTCGCGCTGCCAACAAAATCCTAGCACATAAAAATGCAACGCATATAAAAACATATGCTTCAGCTCCTGTTACAGGACACTTGTTTTCTCCTATTTTTATTTTCTTCCTCCTCTTCTCAGCGCGCGTTGCATTGACGCTGCCGTCGACGACGCTGACGCTGGCAGCGCTGCCAGCGCGTTGCAGTTGTGGGCAAAAGAGTTTTCTTGTTCCGTTTGTTAAGTTGTTTTTAAGGCGCTTAAAAAAATTGAAATGAGAAGGAGATGGGAAAGAGGAGATGGAAGATGGAAGATGAGAGAGGAAAGTGTGCAAGGATAACAGAAAACAATGTAGCTTTATTGACCAATTATTGAGGATAATAACTGAACGCAGAGGACTATGTGATAAGATTGGGAAAAAAATAAAAATAAAAAATACATAAAAAATAATAAAAATAGTGCAGGAGCTAGGACTCTACAAGGATATATCTATGTATATATATATGTGTACATATTGTATGTATATAATAAACAAAATGAAGGCAAAGGAATTGATGCTCATGAAATGTTAACGGCCAAGCGTTGACAGCGCTGCCGACGCCGGCGTCGCTGCTCGCTTGAATGTTGAATGTTTTTATCCTTTCTTCGATGTGTCGTCGCTGCGCTGCCTGTGTGAGCTTACATATATATTTGTGTGTGTGTGTGTGTGTGTGTGTGAGGATATCACACGGTTTTCGCTTTTCTTTTACAACTTTTTGTTATTATTTCGTTTTTTGCTCCTTTCGCAATGTATTTTCTTTCAGTGGCTGCTTCATGTGAAGGCAAAAAAAAAAAAAAAAAAAAGAGAATACAATTTCACTTGAATTTTTTTTATGCTCCTGCTGGGTGTGTGTCCTGGGTCAGGACCTAGTTGCTGCCGCTGCCGTTGCCGTTGCTGCTGCTGCTGCTGCTGCTACTTCTTGAGTTTCCTCTTCGCGCGCGCCATTTTTGCTGCTGCTACTTACAACAAACATGGCAACGACTACGGCTGCTGCCATAAGTCGTCCTGCCGCTGCTTCCGGCGCAGTCGACGCCGACTGCGACGCTCACGATTGTTGCATGTGTCCGTGGCCTTTGGCGCGCTGCAACTGTCGTTGTCTTCAGTTCGCTTGCGTTTGGCCAAATCTATTGGTCGACGGCGCGACGTGCGCGTACGCGTCGCGTGTTACATTCACCACACCAACGCCAGGTGGCGCCACGTGACACCCGCACAAACAAGACGAAACACGCCAGCAAATCAAACAACATAAACATACGACTAACACAATTAGAAGCATCACCAACAGCCACAAGTGCAGCACAGCCGCAGCTTCACGTTTCGTGGGAAACATCAGCTCAGCTCCACCTGGCTGGGATATACTTACCTGACATCAGCTGCACTGTATCTATGGCTTGTGTGAAGCATTTGCTGCATGCTGAGACGATCAACACTCTTTTTGCTCAAAGCCTGTTCAAGTGTTGGAAAGTTTGTGAAGACAAAAGCTTTGGTGTATTACATTTATCACATCCAGCTGATGTCGTTATTATCGGCAGAGTATTGTGTAACAGTGCTGCACAATGTTGAAAGACTAAGCTCTCTTAGGGTTGAGAAGAAAGTATCAGTGCTGCATAATTCTACAAGAGTTGGCTGTCTTAGGTTTGAATCAGTGTTGCACAAAACAGGAGGGAAGGTTTTTGTGAGCCTTGCACAATAACTAGATCTATGCTTAACCTACTATTCAAATAATAATAAATTAATAATAAATAGAAGTCTTTTTTTATCAATTAGTAGTGCTGTGTAACAGTGTTATAATAAGGTTTTACAGCCTTACAAGGCTTGTACATCCTTTTTCAAGCAAAGCTTTTATGAGCTATATAAGCTGGTTAGAGAGAATGTAACAACTTTATTTGAAAAAGTTTTATCTTATTATTTTATGTATATATAATATACTGCATACTTTTATAAAACAAAATGTTGAATAGCATGCGTTCTTAGCTAGAAAATTGTATTATTGTTTAATATTATTTACTTCTACTTATTTATGTTATTTTTATTTTAGTTTATATGTTGCTGTTTGTTTTTTTTTTTTTTTTTTTTTTTTTAAGTTACTTTTTTATTGTTTACTTTATTTATTTTTGTTATTTTTGTATATATACATATCATTATTCTATTAAATTTATTTTATTATAATATCGATTTTTTTTATTTATATACATATATGTATTTAAAAAAAAAAAAAAAACTTTTTTTATTTTAATATCAATTTCTACTTAAATTTCAATTTGTTATTTAATTCTGTTTAGTTCAATTTTATGTTTTGTATTTATTTTGATTTTGCTGTTGCTTTAATTTGTGCGCATATTTTGGCCAAGATAAATATGGCTGATGCATTAATTAGCGCCGCGTAGACAATTTGTACACAATTGTGGGATAAATTATGTGGGATTAAGGCGATTTAGACGTGGAATGCCTGGGCAGTGGGTTCATCAACTACTTAATATACGGCATGTAGTATAGGTGCCTAGACCAATCAATATATAATGATTATGCCTGTCAAGGACTGCAAAAGTGTTAATCCTTTCGCTTAAAGTTTTTCCCTGTTTTTTCCTGATGGCTTCAAGCAAAGCTTAACTTTTGCCCTCTTGGGACTTGAATTTGTTCAGTGTTTCCTCGCATAGAGTATCCGGAACGCTTAACACCAGCTCGTCTTCAGCTGAAATAGTACTTACAAACTTTTTAACACACACACGCACACAGCCATAAAGTGCTATAGCAGCAGCAGCAGCACCAGCAAAGAAAACATAATAAAAATCACAAACATGAGCAAACCGTATAAAAGAAAATCAATCTGCCGTGCTGTAACCCAAACCTTGCTCCAAATGCACAGCTTACTGGACTAGACCGGCTCGCTTCCAGTCTCAGGGCCGCCCACTCCGCCCCGTTTGCTGCTCCTTCGCCTGCCCGCAGGACATCGCGCACATTCAGCTATATATATATTTTTTTCTTATACGTTTTCTTAAAAGAAAATGCTGCAGTGCGCTGCAAATGTATGTCTTTATAACGGCAGCGTGCATAAAAAAGGAGCAAGGAGCAAAAATTATAAAATAAGAAAGAAAAAAATATAAAAATGAAGCACAGAGAGCGAAAAAATAAAATAACAACAACATCAACAGCTCTGGCAGACGAAGGCAGCAGAGCAAACCAAGGCGAAGCAGCAGCAGCAGCAGCAGCAAAATGAAAAAGAAAAAAATACATTCACAACATACAAAACAGTTTTTACACACAAACACATATGTGTGTCTGTGTATGTGTGTGTATTTCTTTGTATACATATTTGACTGCTTCGCGCGCGCTCGCAATTTCTTTTTGCGGCTTCAGCTTCAGCTGCTGCAGTTTGAGTTTCTGTTGTTCAGTTGTTGCAAGCTATCCCACGCTCGCTGACTGCACGACAGAGACGGACGGGACTGAGACAAGAACTCCACACAAACACACACACACACACATACGCACACACACACGCACACAGAGAAAGAGAGATAACATTGACTACGTTCAGCAGCAGCTGCAACGCGGCGTATGTGTAATACGCATACAACTAAAGCCTCAACTTGCAGTGTGAAACAGAGCCCGCGCAATTGATTTATCTAAGATCTAACATCAGATATATCTCACAGAGAATATATCTCAAATAACATCTTTGTGTGTATTATGTGTCTGTTACGTTCCCATGCAAGTGGCCCGAGCGGTGGCGTATACGTGATGCGGCATGAAATAAATAAAAACGCGTGTTAAACGCGTGTTTTTTCTTGCTTTGCAAGCTCAACTGAAGCAGCAACAAAAGTTCCTAAAGAAAGTGCAAAAGTTTAAAAATAAAAGTGAAAAATCGCAACGTGAAGTTCCTAAGAGGCACAAAGTGCTTGAAAGAAAAAAAATAAAATAAAATAAATAAATAAAGAAAGAAAAATATATAAAATTAAAATTAGTTCAAATATTAAATAAAAATAAGAAAAATGTTTATAAATTAATAAGATATTAAAAATACAATTAAAGTATAAAAGAAATATACATATATTCATTGCGGATTTACAACAAATAAAGAAAACAAATCGAGTTTGTATTGCAAATAAAAAATTTAATAATTAAAAAAAAATAATATCAAGGCAAAGAGCTTTAAAAATAAATAATTATTATTATTATTTTTTTTTTTTTTAGAATTTTTTGCTTTTAAAAAAATTTATATATCTTATTTTAGAATGTTTGCTTTACATTACTTTTATTAATTTGACCTCAATACATGTACAATATTTAGTAAAAATATATTAATTCAGTTTTATATAATTTTGTTCATGCATGTATATTTTCTAAATACTTTTTGATCACTGATATTATATACAAAAAACTTATATATAAAATACATACATATCATTTAAATTTGAAAAATATTTATCTTAAATTTTTGTATTGTAAATTATATAAAAGAATTTTTATTTATAGTTTATTTTAGTAAATTTATAAAATTTCTTTTTAAAATGTATTTTCTTATTTTATTTGAATTTTTGCTTATATTTATACAGTTTTTATATTTTTAAATATATTTATTAGAATGTATAATTTATAACTCAAATTTAATTTAAATGCAAACCAATTATGTGTAAATTTTTTATATCACTAATAAATGTTAAATTGTGTTAACATTTAAAATTTCTTATTTCCAATTCAATTCAATTCAATTCAATTGAGATTTAATTTTTTAATATTTTTTATTCCGTTTTTAAGTCTATATTTATTCAATGCAATTGTAGAGCTCTTTGCCTTTAACAATCTGTTTTAGCTCTTCAAATAAACGAGCAGCCAACTAATCTAAAACACATTCAACTCAAACAGCGACAATCTGATAGAGATCACAATAAAATCACAAAGAGCTAAACGAGCAGCGTGACACTGAATGCAAAATCAACAACAACAACAACAACAAATCAACCAAAGCGACGACGAATAAATCAAACACAAAGTCTGCAACAAGCTGCAAACTAAACAAAGATGAAAAAAAATAAATAAAATTCGTGAAAGGGAAAAAATGAAATAGAAAAACTTGCTAAATGAAAATAGAAATATTTTTGCGCGCTGCCAACATTTTTCAAGGTCATTCGAGATTTTTATTTCTGTTTCTGTTGCTGCTTCTGTTTACATTTTTATTTGGACTTAAAAACAAAAACTGCATCTAAAAATACAAAATAGAGTTTGAGGGGCGGCAGCGCGACAGCTACAAATAAAACATAGCAAAAAAACATTTCAAAACTTTTTCCCGGCCATCAAATAAAAGTTTAGCAAAAGAAAAAACCAAACCACTCGACGCCTTCACAAAAGTTTTCGGTGTTTATTTTTGTTTGTTTTTCTTATTTTGTTGATTTTTTATTTTTCGTGCCACTCGTTGTTTTTGTTGCTCGCCTGCGGCTCGTTCGCAGTTTTGTTTGCATGTGTAAATCGAACCGCACGAGATAGACAATTTGTTGGGCCGAGAGCCCACGCGAGAGTGAAAGTGTGCAAAATACCTTTGCCTACATTCGAGGGCCAGCATGCTCAAGGATCAGCTGCGACGCCGCCGCACCCAGGACTTGGGCAGCTACATGGACGCCCTCAGCGCTGGCACGGCCACGCCAGCGCCCTTCCTCATGCCCGCCGAGTTCTACACCAGTCTCTTTGCCAGCGCCGTGCTTCAGCAACAGCAACAGCAGCAGCAATGCGAGCCGAATCGCTGGTACCCACAGACGCCTTCGCCCACGCCCACACCGCCCACCAAGCCAGCGGCTGCCGTCACTCCACCACCCGCCCATCTCTCGAGCAATTTGCTGTTCTCCGCCGTGTGCGTGGCCGCCGTCGAGTCGGCGAAGCGCAGCCAGCTGAAGCCGCAGGAAGCAACTGAAGCCAAGGAAAAGCAGCAGATCCAAAACAAAAATCACGATGCAGAGCGGGTCGAACATGTTAGTATACGACAGTAGTTCCTTAAAGAGGGAATATATTAAATAAATAAAAATATATATTAAAATATATTAAAATATATAAAATATATAAAATATATAAAAATATATAAATTGCGAAATTCATTTAAATTGCAAATATGTTTTATCTGTCGTTCTTACTATGCAACTTTTTTACCGTTACTTATACTTAAATTAACATTTTAATGCTGGAAGATTTGATTTTTTATTGTTAAAAAAGAGAAACAAAAAATTTAAATAAGAAAAAATTTAAATGGGAAAAGAATATTACAAAATAATATTAATACATATATAAATATATAAATATATAAATATATAATTAATCATTATGCAATTTGTTTCATTTTCTTTTTAAGAATAGATTATTTTTTTTTTTTTTTTTTTTTTCTTTTTATATATTATTTTTTATTCTTAGATTTTTCCAGCACTCTAATCAATTATTTTATGAAGTTTTGAATAGATAATAATGTATATTGCGACTTTTTAAACACATCATAAAATTAATTATGATTTTGGGAAGGTTTTCAGAACATGTTTTCATATGAAACTCCGCCATGCATATACTAAACTCAGACTCTGTTATTAAGCTTAAAAAAAAGACAAAAAATGCCCCTCCGCTGGATCCTTAACTCTTGTCCATTCGAACTGTCATAATTAGCTTTAAAATCCAATTAAAGTATTTCAGCCGTCGCCAAATTGTTTAGCCTCTACCTCAGCACACAAAAGAATCCTAAGAAAAATATCAAATTTGGTTTGTTTGCTAATGCTAATTATGGGTCGCCCAAAAAATACAACAAAATAAAAACTGGCTGCTTCTCTCTCTCTCTCTCCCTCTCTCTCTCTCCCTCGCTGGCAATAGCAACAACAACAATATGTACAATCATCAAAAAATCATTTAATATTTCATGCTCAATGCTTGGACAGCAGCAAGCCAAAAAATATGAAAAACCCTTTTCAAGCAAAACAAAACAACACAATTTGTTCTCCCTTGCAGAAACCCCAAAATAACAACAACAACAGCAACAACAACAACAGCAACAACAACGGCAACGGCTACGCCTGGCCAACGGGCAACGAAGTCGTCAACAGCCACAACAACAATCAGCACAATTCACACGCAGCAAACGCTGCAGGACCTGGACAAGGACTCTCGCCAGCGACGCCGCCAACGCCGCCCGTGGACGCCAGCCAGGCCGGGTCCGCAATTAATTTGAATCCACCCGCAACACAGACGCACACGCAGAGCCGTGCAAACTACGCCAATTCCGTAAAGTCGCCACCGGAAACAGGCAGCGCGCAGCCATCAACGGCTGCCGCCACCTGCAAAACACACGACAACAACAACAGCAGCAACAACAACAACAACAACCACAACAACAACAACAACAACAACGCAACTGCTGCCGCTGTGGCAGCCGCTGCAGCCGCCGCCGCCGCTGTCAACATGCCGATCGGCGGCGTCCAGGGCCAGAATCCCACCCAGGGTCTGGTCCATTGGATGAGCGCCGTGATGGCCGAGCACATGACCGGACAGACGCATCACGATCCCAGCACTGCGGTCGGCATGCACTACATGTGGAATGGCAACGTTGATGTGAGTATCCTACATTCGCAGCACTCCATTAGGGGGCGTGGCAGTTGAGCACTATCTGATAGCAGAAGGAGGGAAAGAACAAAAGTTGTATATGAACATACCGACTGCTTGATACTCGCTCACTGTCCAAAAATAAATATTGAATCTATGCAGGAGTTAAAGTTTAAGCTATGGACTAGATTGTTTATCTCAACGTACCCAAGATTGAACATGTATAGTTTATAAAAGTAATTATATATACAGCTAAAAATCTTTTATCGAAAATGATGGTACAGTCGCTAAATTTATAAAAAAATATTTATAATATATATAGGTATAAAAAAAGTCGAATTTTATCGAATCTCCACATCTTCACATTTAAAGAAGTTCTACAGTTGGAAAATTTCTCAATCTCCAAGGGAGTCTTTATGGAAAATTTGAAAAGGTCATTAGCTTGGTAGGGATATGGGAGCAGTAGCTATACAGTAGCAGCAATTCAGTAGGAGCTATTATAGATTAGAGAGCAGGAAACAACAGTGGGAGAATACAGCAGGCGGCTATAGTAAGAATTCAGACCGTGGGGCATCTGCCTGCTAAAAAACCGAAACTTACTACTATTTACGCCAAGTCGGCGAAAGACTTCATTAACTCTATATTTTAACACATTTAGTCAATGCAAGATCACATCTGATAGCAGTTAAAAAAATCTCTAGCTAAACTAATATACTCCTTATGCGCCTTGAACGAGTATCAAAAGAGAACAAATTGAAAAAATGGAAACTTTTTTCGGGTTTTCTTTTTTTTGTTTTTTTTTTTACCTTCCCCCAATTTTTGGCGAACTTTGCGCAAAGTTTTCTGCAGTTGGCAGCTGCTGGAGTCACCGAGAAGGCGTTGGACTACATCGCTGTTCAGAGTGGGCGTGACGAGGGCGAGAAGTAGAGTAACTGGCGAAAAGGAAAGCAGCGCTTCATAATTAATAAGCGACTAAAAGTTGACGCTCTAAGTGAATTAAATGAGCGCTTCGCAAAGAGAGAGCGCTAGAGAGAGAGAGAGAGAAAGAGGGAGAGAGAGCGACTGGATATGAAGGGGAAGGACTGCAATAGAGAAAGTAGCTAATTGGTTAGGTGACTAGGGTAATACGTGTGGGTGTAGGTCTCTAGTCTCTAGCATTTTTTCTCTAGCTGAACTGTCAAATTAGTTATTGGAGAAATGCGTGTAAAATATTCCATGACTGCAATATAATTGTATTATAGATTATTGGAAATGTATTTTTGGAGAGTTTGGGAAGCTGGAAGACTTGCTTTAGCAGCCGTATTACTTATCTCATTTCATTAGTTAAGAGCTATCTGTAGAAAGCTACAATTATCATAGTATATATATACATATGTGTATTTAATATCGTTAGCTAGTAGCTATTATTAAATATAATATAATAGAAACGACGTATAAATACACTCTTCCCTAGACAAATTCAGTTTCAAATGTTAGTTGCAAGGATCTAAATATAGTAGGATCCGGTTATAAGTGATCGTCGTTATACCCGGAAGAAGCTATGACCATATAAGTTTGCTCATATAAGTGTGTACGCAGGCTATAAGCGGAGTCGCTATAACCAGAATTGACTGTAACAGCTTCTCATTTTACAGCTACAATTGATATATACAATCAGAAATACACAGTCTCTATTTAACATCCATGGAGTTATACCTTTGCTTGAGTCATCCTAATGCACTCTTTGCATAGTTGTTAAACGCATCAGTTGCGGTTCGTAGGCTCGCTCAAAGGTCTGCCGCAAGTGCAAGGACCTTGACCACGCAGCGAACCAGCTTCATGACAACTCATTCCTGTGCTGCTGCGGCGCTGCTCAAAGGACTCCAACTCCTGTTTCAAAGCTGCTTGGGCAGCTGCTGTCCAACACTGCTGCACTTTCACTCGACTCGAACTTCAGTCGGCAACTGACCAAACCCAAACCGTCTCTGTCTGTTGCCACATGAACGGAAACGAGACGCGAGTCCTCACCCACTCCTCCCCTCGCTTGGATTCCCTCCCCATGACAATTCCAGTCTAAGTCCAGCTGCCTTCTCCTCTGCCCGGCACAAGCGGACGCGACGCTGAAATAAAAAATAAAAAAAAGAGTGTGTCCTTTGAGCAGCATCCTGCAATTTTTTGTTATCCCTTTTTTCCCCGCAACGCACATTTTTATTTTGCATTTTTTCGCTCTTATTTTCGTACCTTTTCTACTGCTTCTTTCATGGATATCCTTGCTCTTGACTGCGTTTTGCTCTCGCGTGCCACGCAGCAAAAAATTCTTGGAGTTTTTTCAATGCTCTCGTTTTGTTGTTGCATTTTTCGCGTGTTTTTATTTTATTCATTTTTACGTTTTTTCGCCCTATAAGATGTAAACAAGTTTTTCTTTGCGCGTTGAACTTTGTCGTTTTTTGTTGCTGTCTAGATTTAATTTTTTGCTTACTTTGATTTTCTTTTCATTTCATTTTTTACTCGAAATCGCTCTCCTTTGCAATGGCTCGCTTTTCACTTTTTCGTGATTGTTTTGAATGGAGATTGATTGTCTCCAAGGACAACGGCGGGTGAGAAAAAGTGTCTGGAAAAGGTTGTTCCTCTCCTCCTCCTCCTCCTCCACTCCGCGGTCGCTAACGAGTGCTTTGCCCTTTCAAAAGCAATTTCGACGCCTGCCGACTGATTTTTAAAGGATATCCGCAGTTAATTAATTTTTTAAGGTTCCACAATCAGCGCGCAGTCAACAACCAGCGAGTTCGCCTTCTTGTCACTGGCATTAGTGAAATTAGTTGTGAAACAAGAGCGACTCTCTCGCGAGCGAGCTATGCAAAGTTCTCTAATTAATTCTGAGCGCAATTGCACTTAATTTTCTTCACTTCGTCTTGGATTGAGAAATAGCCCAACTTGAAATTGCTTTCGAGCAGGTGCGTGCGCAATTCCTGACTAATTAACGCTTAACTTCGAATAGAAAGGCAACTGGCAAATTGCCTCTATCAAATAAAAGGTTTAAGCTGAGCGTAAATTCCCCGGGGGAGCAGCTGAAGAGATCTGGGGAATGCACTCAATTATTAAGAGGGGCATTAGTATGATATTTGTGATTAGTATAGCAGAGTCTTGGACAACAAAGTGCAAAATGAAAAAAATAAAAGTATAATATTTGCTGAGACTATTATATATAGTCAAAACTCTGAGTCTGCATGCCAAAACAATATTCTTGAAGATTATTCTAGACCAATTTTAATTATCTTAGCTTTTATTTTATAAAATATACATACTTATATCTCTTCTTAAAGAGAAATTTGAACATAATAAGTGCGAATCTTGATGTTGAGCAATGCAGTTAAATCACTCTATTAAAATTTATTTTTAATTTTTAATCAAAAAATCTTTCCTTAAAACTAAATGGTCTATACTTTAAGCTTCAAAAGAACATAAGTTGGCAGCTAGAAAGGCGTTGATTAATATAGGTTGATTTAAGATATGTATAAATTGAGACTTCGTTAAGATATCCCGTAATTGAGACTAAATAAAATGAACAACAACAAAACAATATTTAGGGTCTGATATTTTCATACGGCTAATTGGATATTCTATAAATGCAAATTCTGGATATAAAATGTTGTGTTGCATATATAGCCAATTACAATCTGAGAAAGAACAAGATGCACATGCACAAAACCAATATACTCATTTCATTTTTGTGAATGAGTATAAATACGCTATATAAATGAAAAGAGATATTGAAATATTAAAACTGCTTAAATTGCTTAAATATGAGTATAGACTTTTCTTGACCTCTCATATTCTATTATTATTAAAATATTAAAAATTTTTAAATTAAAAAATGATAAAGAGAACAGGCACGAAACAATATACCCTTTTGCCTTGTAGAAAATATAATGGAATAGAATTCGGTATGAAATTATGTGCCGGGTCTAGTAGTAACCATGTATAAAAAATTTGTTAATTAGAAAATGACAAAGAAAATAATAATATTTTTTGTATATAAATGACTCCATGAAAGTTTAAATAAATGTAGAATGTGTCTAAATTAGAATTGCTTTTAGAATTCAGTGCGAAACAATATGAGCTATTAGCTTCATTTGCAGTGATTATTATTATTGAAAAAATTTAACAAAAATTGTAAATAGGAATATGACAAGGAAAACAATCTTCTGCAGTACAAATAAATCAGATTTGCTTGTCGGATTCGCTTGGAAACAATGTGAGTCATTAGTCAAATTCGCTGCGAGCCGTACTTTAAGATTCCAATTAAAAAGTCAGTCAGCCGACGGGCTGGCTGGTCGGGCGAGGGGAAGGAAACCCTAAACCACAGCACGCCTCACAACAAAGCATTGCAATTAATACTTATATACTTCAATTAGAAAAAAGTCAACGTGACGCTGAAGTGAAAAGCGAAAAGCAACAAAATAAAAAGAAAATGAGAAACGGGAAATGAAATGCGAGGGGAAAAAGTGAAAATTGAAAGGCTAAAGCGCAGCAGGGCTGGGGCAAGCGGCGAAAACTGACTAATGGGGCCAGTCGAAACGATATTCCGCTGCGCGGGGCGCGCTGCGGGTGAGAGAGGGTTGGCTGTCTGAAAAACCGCGAAAACCGCTACCAACTTCAATTTTTAAAGTAATTGCTATAAAGTTGAGCAAATTTGAGCAGCAGCAAGAACAACAATAGCCACGAAATTCTAACCTCAGGCGGGGCTTGTCCGACTGGTCAAACATTTGAACACACACACACACACACTCACACACACATATATGCGAGTATATCGCTTTGCTAGCCTCTAAATGCAAGAAAAAAATCAATAGAAGCAGACAGCGCCGCAGCATGCATAAAGAGATGAAGCCCAAATAAGTTAAATACAAAAAAAAAAAAAAAAAAAACAACAACAACAACAACATAAAAAAAAATTAACAAAAAGAAAATGTTCCCAAAATGTAAAGTGGAAGTCTGGAATGGCCAAAAGGTTGCTACAATGTGCACAACGCGCTTGGGCTTTTGGTCATGAGCTGGGCCGGTCGGAGGCGGGGGCGGGGGCGGACCGTTCGTTGGGGGCGGCAATTGCGAAAAAATTCACGTTTTCCGCCTAATTTTTTGTTGCCTCTTTGCTCGCTAGACAGCATGCTGGACATAGAAACTGCACCACCCGGTGGTCATAGCACAGTCGACGGCGGCGTTGGCGTCGCCGCTAACGTCGACGCCACAGCGAAGGGGTTAAAAAAAATTTTTTGTTTTCGATTTTTTTTCCACTAGCAAATTTTTTCCATTTTTTTTTTCTGCATCCTTTTTCTTGTTTTTGCTGCCTCCTCTTCCAAATGTTTTGGTCAGTGCGCGTGTGGGAGTGAGAGGGCGAACGTACGCTTGTTAGAGAGAGATAGCGATGCTGCTGCTGCTGTTGCTGCTGCGCTGTACCAATATTCCATTTGATTTCCTACTTCTTCTTCTTGTTCGCCTTTTTTTTTTTTTTTTTGCCACTTTTCTTTGGGAAATTTTTTCGAAATTTCGTTTTGTTCCATTTCTGCTGCGTGGCGGCTGGACGGAAGCTGGCGTGGGCCAAGCGACGCCTTCATCAGCAACTTGTTGTTGTTGCTGTTGTTGTTGTTGTTGGCTGGCTTGCTAGCGTGTTGGTTAGAGGGAGCTTCCGTTCGTGGCGCTGTCGCTGGCTCTGGGTCTGGGCCATCTTCATCAGCAGCTGCCAACGCAGCATCGCACGTTTGCTGTGCGTGTCTGTGTGTGTGTTGGTGTTGGTGCTGGTCTGCATGTGTGTGTGTGTGGGTAGCTGTGTTTGCATTTTTTGTAGACATTTCTTCTACTTTTTCGTTTGTCCACCTACTAACTAGTCGTTGTTGCACGCACACACACACACACACACACACACAAGCTCGCAGCTCGCTTTCCAACACTGCACTGTGGGGAATTTTGCCGTTTTTCGGGTATTTAGTCATTTTTGCGAAGTATGAAAATTTATAATTTTTTTATGTTAACATCTTAATAAAACTCCAAACTTTAAGGTACTGTACCCAAAATGTTGAATAACAGTCCACTGTTAAGCCTAACAGCTGTTAAAGTCAGCTGTTATCTTCGAAAAGCATTTGCCTTCAGCTTACAATTTGTGTTAGCCGATTTTCAAATCATCGTTATTCAATGACCAGACATTATTTTTGAGAAATTTAAAAAGGATATGAATTTGTAGGGCTTCTACTATGCGTTGGCTTAAAAACCAATTGATGTTTGAACTTATTTTAATCATTTATTGTATAATTAGCAAATGTTGTCAAATTTCATTTCTTGTAAATAAAATTAAACTTTGCAAAGACATATAAAACAGCCACCAGGGCGCACCAGTGTAATTCCAATTGCATGTTATAGAGTAATCAATTGGGATCTTAGTGCCTTTGTCTCAATGTGCACTTTTGCGCACAACCGGCGCAAATCAATTTTTAGCAGGTGACTATGAGCTGACCTGTGTGATATTTGGCTCAATGAAAAAGGCAACTCTAACCAAGAAATAGTAATTGTGATTTTGAAACTAAATAAGACTAATATTGATTCAACTTATAAATGATATTAAAAAAGCAAAAGCCGCTTTTTTTGCCAAAATATAAATTACAAATGGAAGAAATGCAGCAGGAACAAAAACTAGCTGACAACTATGAATGACTGCCTATGACAGCAAATGTTTATAAAAATAATTGTTCATTTGAGGCAGATTATGGAAAGTACTGTTCATCCTGTAGGCTTTTTTGGTAAGGAAGCGTCTGATTTGCCCAACCAGGTCTATAAATCAGACTAATTTCATCATGCATGAGAGCATGAGAGCAGAATCCATAATTTCGCTGATGGTTTTTAACAATGGATACATCTGATCAGATTATTTCTTCGGCAAATCTTTAGAAAAGAGTTTGAAAGCATAAAGGTCGCTGTCTAATGAAGTTGTACGTATTGTATTATGTAAAGTTGAAGGCACAATTAAATCAGTTGAAGAACCCGAATTTTTTTAGCGGATCAATATTTCTGGCTGATTTGGAACTCGAAACTGAAGAAAACTAATTTCGATTTTATGAAAGTTCGATTGTTTTCAATTAAAATTATTATTTTAAAGTATGAACAAGCAAAATTCTTAAAAAAAAAAAAAAATTTTTAATACAAAATTTTAATAAATTTTTTTTGGGTGGGCGGTGACACGCCCATTTTTCTAAAATATATTTCTGATGGTATACATATTAATAATACAAAAACCGGATCAAAAAATCTGGCTTAGTTTTTAAGTTATTAATTAATACCCGATAATTTGGATTTTTCCCCATAGTGCACTGTTGCCAAAAAAAAAAAAAAAATACAAAGAAAGCAACAAAAACTAACGTTGCGTGGTTTACACACACACACACACTACCACAGCCGCACACACTCCCACACACACACACACGTTGCTGCATTTCACACGCTGTGGCAACTCCCCCTGCGCTATGCAACACTTTTTACTCTACCCATTTTTTGTTTTTTATTGTTTTTGTTTTTTGTTTTTTAGCTGTTTTGTTTTAGCTCCACTGCAGCGAAAGCCGGCGCACTTTTGCCGTCGCTTTGACACCTTCGATAGTGTAACGCGGTTTTCTATTTCAATTGACACTCCCCTTGCCACATAGACTGCGTGTCTATATATTTTGTTGTTGTTGTTGCGACAAGTCAAAAGCTACGTGAGAACCAAAGCACTTTGATTTCTATAAGAGTATTTATTAATTTAAAAAATAAAAAATAAAAAAATTTATTCATCAAATTACCTCCAACGAGGTAATGGTGAATGTATAATAAAAATTGGACTTTATTTAATTTATTGAATAGATTCCATTGAAATGTGACCAGGGCACCAAGAACTTTTTTTCAAACAAATAAAAAAGAATATTTTTGTCATATGAGAAAAGAGAACTATTTTTTTCAAATATATTGAAAGATTTTTTAATTGAACTAAATTAATTTCATCAAATACATATACCTATACTAAGGTACAGTTAAATTATATTTAATGTATTCTGGTTTATTGCGGATACTACTCTGGTCTATGCGGATATATTCTCTGCGGTTATCTGCTTTATATATTATACTAATTGATCTTCCTTTTGCTCTCTTTCGCATCCTCTAATGTCGTGCAGCATGCCAAGGATATTAGCGATTACAATCTTTGGCCACCGACGCCGCGCAGCCACCAGCATGCCAGCGAGCATCATCCGATGTCGCTGAAACAAGAGTACGAGGTAAGTGTGGTGCTAGTGGTGCAAGTGGTGCAGGCAAGTGCCGTTAAATGTCCATAGATTGTGTGGGTATGACACTCTATGCCACATACAAAACAAATAAAAATGGCAAAGCCAGCAACAACAACAACAACAATAAAATGGCAACAGCCATAGCAATAAAAACTCTAACAAAAAACATTCCTAAAATTCGCGCGATGCCGCTGATGTCACCCCCTGACACGCCCCCTGCAGACTTGCTGCTCTGTGCAACATTGTATACAAATAACTCTATTTGTTTATTGCTGTTGTTGTTTTGCCAGAGCCTTGCTTTATTTTTTCTAAACATATCGAAAATGTTTAGGCCAAAGCAGACGCGGTTTTTATTTAGCGCGAGTTTCTCTTTTTACGGGGTTTCCTGATATACACAGATACATATATTTCATTTTATTTTGCCATGTCTGGCACGGCAATAGAAAAAGAGAGGTAAACAGAGAGAGAGAGAGAGAGAGGGAGATAGGGAGAGTATGAGACAGTCTCGAGGCTTTTAACCCATATTCACAATTTACATGCAATCGAAAGCAGAAGCCGCAGCTTACATATTTTTCACAATGTTTTTCGGTTTTTCTATTCCTATTTCTATTTCTATTTTATTTTTGCATTTTTTCAACATATTTTTTCAGCACTCTCGCTTAGAATTTTATTCATGTTCTCATGCTACAAATTTATTTTTATCTTTTGGAAATTTCAATACGTATTCGACTTTTCATTTAGGATTTGTCAGTTATATGTATGTAGAATTTTTAAATTTATTTTATTTATTTTTTTTTTATTTGGCATTTGCGCAATCAAAACCATAATTCGTTCTTTGTTTTCTTTGATGTGTTCTATTCCGTTTAGTTTGGTATTTAATTTTTCTGACAGTTGCTCTCGATTGAGTTTTGATGCGATTAGTTAGTAAATATACAATTGACATTTCATTTTACAAATCAAAATTGTATTTAATGGCGAACACAATCCGTTTAATAATATTAATGAAAGCTTCATTAAAGCATAATAAATATACATTTGTTATATATATTTTTCTTTATTTTTTTGTATGTATTTATTGTTTAATCATTTATTTTAAATTATTTCTGTGTATAATATGATTATATTTTTTTACATATTTTGAAATTAAAGAGTTCATAGAGCGCATATTTTACTGTCTTTATACATTTTATGTTTTATGTGAGATGGTCAAACTTCAGATGGTTCGATACATATTTTGGCAATAGGTTTTAAAATATCTAATTATCAATTTACTATATGTAAAACGTTCTCTAGAAAAAGTTTATTGTGGTTGCTCCATATATTGTTATATTTTCTTCCCTTCTAAGAGTCTGGAAATTATAGCTCGCAAAAAACTATTAACTCATCAAATAATATTCAATCACTCTTGCTGAGAGTAAGAAGAGTCTTCGGTTCTTTTCGTTTTTGTTTTCTGTTATGCGACTTTAGTGGAACTGACACAAATATAATATAGAGAGATTTAGGATTTATACTCGCACAATAAGAGTTCTGTCTGATCACTCGAAATCGTTGAAGAACCGACGCAATCAGTTGCTCTCTGAGTTGAGTTTCTTATTTTTATTTTATTTATTTATTTTTTTTTTTCTACACTTACCAATTTCTTATTTAATAATTCATATTATATTTTATAAAAAGTATTTTTAGTTAAAGATATAAAAATACAAATAAATTTATTAAAATTAATAATCTATTTAATTTATTACAATTAATTCATTCAATTATCACAGATAGGCATAGGAATAAAGATTCCAATTATGCAGATCCCTTATTAATAAAAATATCTAATAAAAAAATATATAATAAAAATTCATTGTAACGTGTATATAATTTTATTATTATTATTTTTTTTTTTTAAATTATCATCAAAGATTTTCTAAACAGTGCTCTTAATTCGCTAAGAAAAGAATAGAAATAAACAGCCTAAAATCTTATCATTTGATATGTGATTAATAATTGATTAACTACCTTTGCTTTGCAGGCCAAAATGAACGATCACCACCATCACAATAATCTGCAAAAAGGTGAGTATGGACAGCGGACTGAACTGAATCGAACTGTCGCTTCCCTTTACCCCAACTCGTCGCCTTTCAATGACCTGCCCCAAAACGTGGAATACCTGACCCAGGCGAACAAGTTTTCCAGTTGGCTGGGCTCCTTAGCCTCCTGCGCTTAATTAATTGCTCACAAAAACAACAAACGATAATCACGAATCTCGAGCAGATATGCCAAGGCAGTAGGAAGGGGCGGCTAGAGGAAAGGGGGGAAAGAAAGAGCGCGCGCGAGTTCAGATTGCAATCGGCAGCGAAAAATGCATACGTTGCATATAAAAGTTAAATTGCAACACGCGTGCGGCATGCTGTTGGCCAAGACAAAGGCTCCATTCAGCTAAGGACAGACGCCGAACAGATACTCCCACGAAAGATTGACCTTTAACTGAAGGAATTGCAGGCGCAGCAACAGCAGCGGCAACAGCAGCAGGAGGCAGAGTAGTAGCAACAATTGCTTACAACATGTTTACATAAATTCCTAAAATGCAAACAACATCTCTCTGTGCAACAGCAACAACGGCGGCAACATTGACAGCAACACGCTCCAAAAAGGGTTTGCGGTAAACGGGTCCGATATCGGGTTAGTAGCTCCGTTGGCGGCAATGATCTCGACCCGATAATGTCAACGCTAGGCAATTGGCCAATAACATTGTTGTTGTTGTTGTGGTTGATGTTGCTGCGCTGCTGCTGCTGCTGCTGCTGCTGCTGCAACTGCGATAAGCATCGCAGCAACATCGCGACCAACAATGTAGATGTAGATGTATCTATGCGATGCATTCGCTTTTACCTGTACGCCTGCCTGTTGGCTTTTACCTGTACAAATTAACAATACGGACGACTTCAGCTATGCTGGCCATGACTCACAGACTGGGCCAAGACGCGGCCTGACTGCTGCAAACATGTTGTAGCTCATATTGCTGCACTCGAAGAAATATATACAGAGAACTTGCGAAAGATTTTCAGAAAATAAGGAAAATGAAATGAAAAATGAATTATTATGAATTAACATAAATTAAAATGAATTATCACGAATTTTTATGAATTATCAAGAATTATTCTGCATATCCAAAATATATTTAAATTGAATTTATGGCAAATATTCTGCGCGAATGAAATAAATCTATTTTCTTAATAAAGAAAATATTTGAAAATATTTCAAAAAAATTTTGTACAAAAAAAAATATATTGATATATTTCATATATTAATAAAAATTGTAAAAAAAAAAAAAAAAAACAAAATCAAATTTTAAATAAAAATTAAAGAAATAAATAAATAAATTAATTAATAATTATATTAATACATAATTGAAAAACTTTTAGTATATCAACTTTTTTTTTATTATTATTATTATTATTTTCATAAAAAAAAATATTTTTATTAGTATTATATTAGTATTATACAACAATTAGGCATTCGCTTTGTATTCCTTTGCCTCGATCTGCTCATTTTTCTGCTCTCGAAAAGACAGATTTATTTCTTCGAGTGTATCCTGTTGGTTAGGCTGCTTGTGCCCCATCGTTCATTCAGTTTGGACAGTTTTGCCGGGCTGGCGCCATTCGCCCGCCCGTAATTAACACTAAAAATGTTGAACAACTTGAGTAGGCCTTGCTGGCAATTTGGGGCCAGCGATTGTCTGCAAATGTTTTATTAGAAAAGCTTTTGACATGCCAGCAGGGCGCCCTCGGCTGCACCGCTAATCCTCGCCAGCGAGTGGCCCAGTCCTCGGCATTTCCAGCTCATCAACAAATTCACACAATTTTTGCACGCAAATGCACTGGGCACTCAATTATGGATGGATAGAAAGATAGATAGATGGATGGCTGGATGGCTGGCTGACTAGAAGCGAGGCATTAAAAGACTATTTGAAAAAAAAAGAAGAAAATTGTGAAACTATTTTCACATAAACTGTAACTCAACTCGAGCGCGATTTCCCAGTGGCAATCAGAGCGGCCAAGTTTAATTAGAGAAGCCAGCGAGGAGCAGCCTGGTGGCAGAGGCGCAAGCAGCCTGGTGGCAGGTGGCCAGGGGGCAGGTGGCAGGTGGCAGCTTGGCAGTTTGGCGGCTGGCTGACGTGAGTGAACGTCGGCAACTTCAACGGAGACGCGCGGCATGACTTGTACTCGACTCAACTCAACTCAACTCGACTCGACTCAACGCGACTCCAGTCGATTGGACTGACAGCCGTGGCCACATTAGATGGCGCCACGGCTGACACAATTCAGCAGCCACTGAAGCAAACAACTCAATTGCAGGTCACTTTCTGGATGACAATCGTCTGGAGCACCATGCGGCGGTCGCCGGACAAGGTAAGTCTTACGATCCCAAGTCAAAGCTTTTCCCTTTTAAGGTCCAGCAACACTTGTCAACAAGATTTCTAATACATTTATTTTTTTTTTTTTTTTGTCTCCTTTCGTTTTGGTGTTTGCAATTTTTTAAGCAACATAAATTTGAAACGTGAGAGAAGACTGAATAACTAGACATATGTCTGGCATGGGCAGGGAGAATGCCTCTTAGAGAGAGATAGGCAGAGAAAGAGAGAGAGCTGAGAATGAAAGTATGAGCAGTTATTAAATGAGTAATGCAGCTTAAACTAAATGTATTAATATTGCAGTATGATAGGTGCTAGTAGGACGGAGTATTAATTATATACTATTCTCTTCATGTAATTACAGTGACGAGCAAAACTGTAACACGAATTCAATGTTGCAACTTCAAGAGTCTATATTTTTCTTTCTACTCTATGGATGTTTAAGATCTTAATTTTATTTTGTTAGTATGATATTTAGCTGTCTTATCTGAAAATTTGAAATCATTCAATTGGCTGGAGTAATTATAAGAAATATAAATGTAAGGAAAGTCAAATGTTACAGTTTTGCACCATATATTTTCAATGATATTCATGTCTGAAGAGTATTCAGGACACTTCAGGGACTTGAATCCTTGCCATATTATCCACTTTTTGACCAAATTAGACGTGTTCTTTGAGTCATTGTTCTGCATTTCTCAGTAGTAAAACCCATATGTTCACCTAATTCTCCCAAATTTTGTTGTAAAGTGATCAGGTACTATCCCGAAACATTATGCCATCGATTAAAACCAAGAGTTCCAGCACAATCTTTGTGTATTCTCCCTTAAACCAAAAGAGAGCAGCCACCGCGCTTGACAGTTTGCCTTACTGTTACAGTCAACAGACTGGACTGGAAGCATGATATAGATTTTGTATGCTATAGAATCAACCGTATTTCCTATATGTTTTGATTATCTTCATTTACATTTAGAGGAGGCTAGTTACTGATTAGCGGCTGAGAGGGCTAATAAACTAAAGTCTTTTTAGTCTCCTTATTCCGAAGTTGAGAATCATGCTTGTTCTCTTACATAACATTTTTATGAGTATATTTTAATATATACTATATAAGTACTGCAAATAAATAAAGCCGATCAGTTTTAGACAAAGTTAGACAAATGTTTTTTTTTTTTTTTCATATAAAAGTGTAAAAATTTCCAAATTCAATTAATTGCTAGTATTACATAAATAATTGATTTATTATAATTTTACAAATAATAAATAAAGAGGAAAGTAAATATAAATAAGTAAACTTGAATATCAACAGAGAATCATTGCAAGAGTCTTTTTCTGATTGTATGCTCAATATTATTTTAACAAGTTTTATTGTTAGCGAAAACTTGCTGATAGTGATTATATATTATATGATTATTAAACATTTTTTTTTTTTTTTTACTATATTTAATATATATTTTAATTACATTTATCGACATTTATTACTCTATTATAAAGTTAAGTCTTATCTTTCTACTTTTCTTTTTCAATTCAGTGCCAAAATAAATAAATAAATTAAAAAAAAAAAAAAATAAATAAATAAATAATAATAATTCTGCTTTCTGCATAGTAGGATACCGAAAGAGACAAAGTCGTTATCATATTAAGACAAATTAAATTAAATTTAAATTTTACTTAGGCTCTAACAAAGTTTATTTCAATGCTCAAGTTAGGCAAGGATCAATGAATTCCATTTATTTATCAATTTTTTTTATCAGACTCTTATTTCTTCAGTGTTATAAAATGCTTATTTATTTACATATTAAAGAATCATATTTATGATATTTATTTATTGCAATGCAAGCTATTTCTTTTTCACAGGCAGCCTGGGACTTGGCGCTGTCAACGGTTCTGGCTCCGGGCCGGGAGGCGGCAACTCCAGCCTGGCTGGCGGTTCGCATCATGGCAATCACGTGTCGGCGGCTGCTGCAGCCGCGGCGCATCATCACAACAATGCGGTGGCAGCTGCCTCGGCGGCGGCGCTGCTCGTCGTCCCGCAGCCCATCAATGCCAGCAAAATGGGCGGGCCGGGACCGGGCGGCCACGCACCGGCCGGAGGCAGTGGACGAAAGTATCAATGCAAAATGTGCCCGCAGGTAGGTGGAGCCGCTTTCATTGTACGCCGACTGATATTTGCATTGCACTTACCGGTTAAGTTAAGGCTTAAACGTATTTTGGCCGTCGGCCTGGCCCAGAGAAGTGTTGACAACGAGTCGACGGCCAGCGGAGCGACGCGACGGCCTTTGTTTACAATTTTCCAGTTGATTTGTTTGGCCCAGAAAAGTTTCGAATTTCAGCCGGATTTCTGTGCCCGCATCGTATGGCCTCTCTTCTTCAATACGCCTCCTTCGCCCTCCGCTCCCCCTTGACATGTTAAGCGCGTTTTTTTTCCCACATTTCATTCAGCTTGAGCATCAGCCAACACACTTGACCGAAACTGGACAGAAAACGGCATTAATGACACTCAACAGATGCTGCTCATAAAATGTCAATTATGCATCGACCTGCAAGTGTGTGGCCCTCTGCGTGTGTGTGTGTGTGTTTGTCAGTGTGTTAATTGCAGTTAATTGAGCTTATTGTTTTTAACGGTTACACTTGTTTTTTGTTCTCTTTTCTTTTTTGATTCTCTGCTGACCTGCGGCAGGTGGCACTGCCAGATTTTTGCTGCGTATGTCGAGTCAATGATATGCGTGGGATAATGCAACGGTAGGGGCAGAAGATTGAACTGAAAGTCGGAATATTGCTTGACACTGAGGAGGATTAACGAAAAGATGATAAGATTTAGCCTGTATAAAGATAGTTTAGCTATAAAAAGTGAGATTTAGCTGCTATGAATTGAGTAAGCAAAACGCAGCAAATATTTGCTGGATAAGAAATGCTAAAACTTGAATTCATGTTGTAATAATATGAAATATATGACTTAAATTGAATTTCAAGTTTAAAGTATATGTATAAAACACAATAGGAGAGAGCCTATCTGCCTTCAAATATTTCTCTACTCACCTATAAAAATGGCAAAAAATTGACGGTTGCTTTAGCTCATATACTGATGCGTATGTGTATATGCGTGTGCCTGTGTGAGTGTGTTAACGAAGATCGAACAAATGAAAGTAAATTGAACAACAAAAATCGCAAAAACCCCCCAAATAAAAAAGAAAATTGTAGAAAATTGTTGTTGTTTTTCGTGTTGTTGGGAGCAGCCGCAGCAGCAGCAATAACGAAATTTTGTTGTCCATTGGACGAATGATATGTCGGCCAGATATGCCACACCCAGAACGCCCACAAATTGTGGTGCGGAGCTAACAGCTAACAGCAGCGTGCGCTGATGAGCGAGACTCTGTGTGTGTGTGCGTGTGCGTGTGTGTGTGTTCGGGTGGGCGACTGATGATGTTGATGACGCTGCTGAAAAGCCAGCAACAATAGCAACAACAACATCAGCAGCAGCAGCAGCAGCAGCTACGGCTGGGCTGAAGAGGTGTTCATTTGTGCGAGGCGAAGTGAAATAGCAGCATGCCTAAAAGTATGCTGCAAATTTTTTTTGCAGCTGCCGCTGCGTGCGAGTGAATTCACAGTTGCTGTGCGAGAGTGTGTGTGTGTGTGTCAACTTTATGTTTCCTTTTTGTAGCTTACACACATATGCATTTATGAGTATGAGTTTGGGTGCTTACGTGTGTGTGTGTGTGTGTGTGTAAGCTGCACTACTGGAAATTAGTGCGTTTCTACGCTCAAAAGCGTCTGCTGGTCTGCTGCTACGTTTTTAATTACCCACACTTGGCATTTTTTTACGGTGCTGTTTTGGCAGTCTCCTTGTTGTGCTCGCCGTTGTTGTTGTTGTTGTTGTTGCCAATGCAGCTAAAGCTTCAATTGGAATTACTTCACTTGGCACTCGCATCTGCGTTGTAGCAGCAGCAGCAACTACTTTTTTTTTTTGTCTTCTTTAAAGCCTTTGACTGGCCACACATCTACGTATCCATATAGCACACAGCCTGTGCATGTCCATGCGCATCTGTGTGAGTGCTCCTCTCTCTCTCTGCATGTGTGTGTGTGTGTGCTGCAGCCAGCCTATCATGTTAGTGTGCGCTGGCCTGCTTTCTCACTTCCCTTCTTCTTCTTTTTTATTTTGGCTGTGCAAGAGGAGGGGCAAATGTTATTTTTGCACTTTTTTTGTTGGTCGAAAAATGATGTGTGAGCGTACGGGCAGGTGGTAGACGTTAAAGCTTTATGATCTTCATTTGCTGCCCCGAGAAATCGATGTAGCAATCAAAACTGAATTGGAACTGACTGAAATTTCTGACTGACTTTAAGCATTTTTCACATTAATTATTAATCACAATTTCTAACTTTTTCTACAAATAAAATATAGATATAAAATAAAATATCAAATCACCAATACATACACAATTATTCAATTTTTTAAATATTCTTAATTACGTCCATTTTGCCAATATAAAAAATTGGAGACGGCGATTTCAATAAAAAAAAAAAAAAAAAGAATCAACTGGAATGCGCTCGAAAATGCTCTCTGCGCCCATGCGACTGACACATACGTATGTGTGTGTGTGTGTGTAACGGTGGGTGTATGTATGCTGGGCATTAAATTGTCGCTGCCTTTTCGGCGCCAGCTCCCCAGCCAACACGCGTAATGCCCCTTTATAATTTTGCACAGCAATTTTTTAGTTACATTTATCGTGAGTTTTTTTTTATGCATTTCCTCTTTTTTTTTTTTTTTTTTTGGTTTTTGCATTCACTCAACTCACTCCGCTGCCCAGCTTTGTGTGTGCTATGTGCACTAACACAATTACACACGCACAGCCAAGCCGCTGAAGCACTGGACATGCCCCGAAAGGGGGCGTGTAGGCTGCTCAAATAGCTCACACTATCAATTAGTAAAATTACATGCGAAAAACGAGCGCAAAATGTTTTGCCACGTTAAGCAAGTAAAAACACACAAAAAAAAAAAAAAAGTAAAACGAAAAAGAAAATCTAAAAAAAATTAGCGCACTCTCGCTCTGCATACACACACACACACACACACACACACACACACGCATGTGCACTTGTTGTCGGTAATTCCCCTCATTTAATTAACAATAAAAATAGGCTAAAAAGTCTAAAAAAAAATAAGTAAAAACTGCAAGCGATTATGCATACATGCCGCACACATACATAGCCACCGCACACACACACACTCACACACGCACACGCACGTACATTGCGCGCGTGCCATTTGTTAAACAATTTTAACGCGCGCCCCCAAGTAGGCAACGCTTTTTTGCCAAGCAGCGCGGCCCACACAAACACACACACACACGGACACACATGCACGCACACGGATGGCCGGTATTAAAATTTTATCCGATATAATGCATGAATTATGTAAACTATTTTTATATTTATTTTTATTGTTGTCGTTGATTTTTGTTATTTTTTGTTTATTTTGTTTTTTTTTTTTTTATTATTTTATTTTTGCAATTTTTCTGAAACGCGTATTGGTGGCCCCAGCGCGCTGCCATTGCCCCTACATGTGCGTGTGTGTGCGTACGTAAACGTGTGTGTGTGTGTGCGTGTTTGTGTTGGTCAGCGGCCTTTAGCATTAGCATTTGGTTAATGTTAACGCGTGTCGCCCTCTATCGACCGAAACAAGTATGCCTCACATGCATTTTTAGTGCGGTTAGCAACTGTACATACACTCACACACACACATAGAATATTTTTAATCTATGGCAGCTGTCCCGCTTGCACAGCTATTGCCATCTCGCTCCTTCGCACTGTTGCAGTTTGTAACTTGTTTATTTTTAATTTTATTATGTGTACATTATTTTGCCAATGCATTGATATGTGTGTGTGTGTGTGTTTGTTGTGTATGTGTCTATTTATGCACTCGTCCGTTGCATTCAAGTGTTTTGTTTTGTTTTGCTTGTATTTTGCATATTGCATGAAATCATGCGCTTTTTTCCCAGTTCCTAGGAAAATGGTTTTTAAAACGTCAACTCGTTAGCTCTGTGTGTGCGTGTGTATATGTCTGTGTGTGTGCGTGTGTATATGTCTGTGTGTGTGTGTGCTTTGTTTTTTTTTTTAGAACTTTGCTTATTAATTTTTTATTATTGTATTAACGCTTGGGGCAACTTATTTATTTATATACAAATTTATTCAGTTGATGTTTTGCTTGCTGCTTCAAATAACATCAATAATCAACATGCCGCAAATATGTTCCAGCGAATTATTAATTTTATAAAATTTTTTCACGTTGCCTCTCAGAGTTTTATCAAATTCAGTTTAAGGCTCTTAAAGCCTGACAAAAGTTATAAGAGCCTTAAATATATTATAAATCGAATTTATTTTTATAAAGATATTGAATTGAATATGGATTAGCTGAAATAAAATATTAAATTTTATATGTAAGCACATTATTTTTATTGAAACAGTTTATAAATGACAAATGTATTCCTTATAAAAATATATATATATTCATATTATATTCCAATGGATATTGCAGCCTTTGGATCTCCACTCTTAACAAATCAATAAAGAGCTTTATTCTCCCTTGCTCAAAAACTAAACTCAACTTATGATTTCTTCTATTTATGAAGTTCTCTTTTTAATAGAATTTAAAGTTTTAGAAACGAAACTTGTTTCAGCTCAAGTTGTTTATCTACCTTCACGTTGTCTCTCGCAGCTTTAAAAATTTAAATTAAAGAATTTTGGAGACTGACAACAAACACAATTGCAAATAAAACTAATTTGATAAAAAGCAATGAAGTATGGATAAATGGCAAACCAAATTGCAATTTCAAATATAATAATATTTATTCAGAGAAACGGTTCAGTTAGTTGGTGGCATATTCATTCTCAAATGTAAAATAAATTGAATTTTTAAATGTGTTATCATTATTTTATCAAAAGATTTACGTTAATTGCTGATATATTCATTCCCAAAAATAAATTATGTTTTTGTGGGATCTAATATTTTGTTGGATATCCACTCGAAGATAAATTACCAAGCTCATCGAAGATCTATATTTACCATTGCTCAAAAACCAAAATCAACTTAAGAGCTTTTCTTAAGTCTAATATGAACTGCTCTATTTGAGACTCTCAGCTCTAGTAGCAAAAATTGAATTAGCCTTAATACGGTTTTAAATATCGTGCAGAGCTATCCTCTTCATCTCCTGCTGAATGGCATGAATTCAACGACAAAGTGAATAATATTTTTAGGAAACCATATTTCTTTTAGAGCTGTGAACAAGTGTTTACTATCTATCCCCCACATCTCTTGTTAACTGATGTTTTCACTATTTCACACATCTCTGCTTGCTGGAAACAGCTGTGATATCGGTGTGTGTGTGTGTGTGTGTGTGTGCGTGTGCGTGTGTGTCTGTGTGCGTAATTAGCCTTAGTGCTCAAATTACAATTAACCAAAACAAGCTAACAAAATAACGGGGCTAGTCTATGCTATCCATTAGTCAGCTATCAACAATCTCGAGTTGACCTGGACTCAGTCAGCGAGATTAACCTGTGAAAGGGCAGCAATCAGATATCGAACCAAATGGGAGGAGGGTGCTTTTGATACAAACCTACCATGGATCGGAAGTAGGTCTTCACAGACTGCCAGTGGGCGCTGGAGGAATGGTAGTTTTCACGCTTCCACTCGTCATCGTCCAGCGAGCTGGCTGGCAGCAGCGGCTCCACCTCGAGGAACTGCGCCCAGAAGCCGGCCGATTGCAGCAGCAGGACACGCAGCACCTGCTGCCACAGGACAATGTTGCTCAGATTCAAGTCGGCGTCGTCAAAGAGCGTGGGCGCGAATACAACGGCGATGTTATTGATGGACATCTTCACGGCTGGACTCTCGGCGATGCGCTGCCAGTGCAGCATGAGGAAGGCCAGGGTGTCGCGATGCGCCTGCGGCAGATCTACCATGGCCAGATAGAGCTGCTCCTCGACAGCCAGCGGATCGCTGAGCTGCGTGGCGAGCACAAAGTCCGGCCTGTGGTACATGGGTATGAGGGGTCGCTCCAGCGAGCGCAGAAAGTCCTTCACGCAGCAGCAGAGTGTGTGCGTATCCTTGTCGCCCAGATGCGGCGTCGCCTTGCCGCGCAGCAGCTTGTGCCGCAAGCGCTTGACCTTGTCCCTGGTGGAGGAGACTCGATAGAGCCCCTCCAGCTCCAGGCCGCGTGCCTCGATCTCCGTCACACAGTGCACGATCAGCGCGGGCACCATGGGCGCCACATGCGGCACATAGTCGCTCAAATGGCCCCGCTTCGTGCTGGCCAACGGCTGTGGAATGCAGTTGACCGTCAGCTGACTGCAGCACTCCGTGTGGCAGCGCAGCGGACAGTCGCGGCACCTCAGGCTAGCCACACCAAAGCGAATGCTGGAAGCCAGGCGACTCATATGAATGTCGTGGGAATATCGTACGGATATACTCACCGCTTGTTGCACTGCACGCAGTTGCCCACGTTCGAGTAGTAGGCCTTCAGCTTGAAGTTGTGCTGGCGCAGCAGCAGGAGCGGCGACTGCGGCTGAGCCGCGGGGTAGATGGGCGTGTAGCAGTCATCCCGCTGCAGCGATATGTCGTCGCTGCCATTGGGATTCATGTGGATGCGCAGGCGATCGTCCAGCAGCGAGTCTATCGACTGCTCATCGTACATGCGAAACTGCCTGCTCAGATCATTGAACGAACTGTACTCGCGTCTCAGACGGTCCTTGGCCTGCATTGCAGCGTGTTGTGGCAGCGACTGGGTCCCAACTTCAAATGCCGCACACGCCAAATGTTGGTCGTCTGTTCTGCCCAGTTATCGCCACTTCTGATACTCAACCACACACACACACACACACACCTATATAGATATATGTGTGTGGATATATAACTGTGTGCGCTGAGCAAATCAGCTGTCACTCTTCATTGAGTCAGCTGCCTGGCCAATGTATTTCCAGCAAAATTTTACTTCGCAGAATGTTTGCTTTTCCTCTTCGCTCTACTCCGACTCGCACTCACGCTATACAGTTAGTTCGTAAGCTAATAATTCCGAATAGAATAAAGACTTTGCCGGCTTTGCTCGAAAACAGATAATATTTTTATTATTATATTTTATGAATGTCGAACACAGCTGAGGCTGCTTTGTTATTTGATAGCTTCGTGATTGCAATTGTTTTGACGAGCTAATACGATATATATCGTATAACTAATGACAACATATCAGATGTTTTGGATTTGATATTATTTATTTATTATTATTATTTATTTTCTTTTTTTTTTTTTTTTTTTAGTGTAGCACCTGTACCTTATTTAGTAGCTTAACGCATAGATGGGTAATTCATTTAGAGCGCAGTATACGAATTTTAAATGGAGGTAGTCTTACTCACTATTTAGTTGCCTTGAAGTTCGTGCAGAGACTCACTCGCATGCGAACAGACTGGGGGATCTCAATAATCTTTCGCTGCATCCGCTTATATGCCCTCCAATCTGCTCTTAGGCTGTATGCAGTTTGAGCTCATGTGGAAGTTTAGGGAAGCTTACGGCACTATATTAATTGGATTTGGCAGCTATCGCTCAAATTTGCACTCATAAAGCCATATGGGCAGTACATAAGGTTCTCCTCTCTCCCTCTTTCTTATTGTTGAGCCACCTCAGCCCCAATTGTTCATGAGGATATTGCTTTATTGTAGCTTTGCGGTGTGGCTCAAAGGTAAGACTCGTCCGAGGTATCTTGGTAACTTGTGGCGGCTGCTTCAGGTATTTCCGTCTAGTTGGCTTGGAGGGGTCTACGTCACTCTTTTGACGGTCAAGCATGTGTTTATTTATTTACATTTCTTTGTATATTTAATAAATTTAAATACACCTTAATAGATGGTTAAATGCCTTAATTGTTATTACTTTGAATCTAATTATATTGAAGTCATCTCGGAGATCAAACGAATACAATCGAGGAGGAGTCTATTCAGTCTCTTGTTGCTTGTGTTGGTGGTTCCTTTCCTTTAATTTATTCCACAGTTTTTTCTTTGCATAATGGTGACAGCAACCTAAAATGATTTAGTTGTAATTTATTAACAAATTGCAATAAATTCAACATGGAGTTTCTTCCAAAACAATAATCGTGAAACAATATAAGAAAAAATTATGATATAAATAGATATAGGAAATGGAACTCAAGAATTAACATTTTTCCTGCTTTACTTTAAACAAACCTTAAATCAAAGAATAAATAAGCTTATCATGTAATATACAAATATTATATTACTATGAAGAGTAGACGAACAATATTTCCGAATAGAATCGAAATAAGTTCCGCCTTCCTTTTTAGTCATTCAAAGTCAGCTTTAAACAAGCTTCAAAGTCAAATGTGAAAACATTTCAAAAAGCAAAAGCAAATATCACTTTAAATATTTGTGCGATACTCGGGGGAATTCAATGTCACGCCGCGGAGATTGGTGTAAAAACAATCTGATGGGAAAACAATTTGTGAAAGTATCAATGAATTCTAAGCGCGATGAAAATGGCTCAATGGCCGCGCTAAATGGATGAAAAATTCATGGAAAAACGCTTTGCGGCCGACAAACAAAATACGTCCAAAAAACTAAAAAGAACTGAAAAAAAACTCAAAAACTAAACACCATCAAAAGCGAAAATGTTAGAGGCAGAGTAAAAAAAAATAGAAATAAAAATATAGAATATTTTTTTTTTTTTTTTCTTTTCGATTTTTGAATTTGGCGTCTGACAAATGTGCCGCACTCTATATACTTGCCGGCGCAGCGCTTTGCCGTCAATTTTAACGAATGAATAAACGTGAGTGGTGCGGGGGCTGGCGGGCTGCAGGGCTGGGGGTTTGGGTGCGAATGAGGCACAGCAACGGGCGAAATTAACGAACGAGGCGGCCAAAAGGCGAATGAATTTGATTTTTATATTTTTGTTGCCGTTTTTTAGGCGTCAGCTGCAGCAGCGCAGTCAACGCACTGTGTGTGAGTGTGCGTTTGTGTGTGTATGTGTTTGATTGGATGGGCTGTCTACTCCTCTGTGTGTGTGTGTGTGTGATGGGCGTCGCATTGAATTCGTAGTTATTAATGCGTATTGAAATGCACATGTGCATACACACACTCACACACACACACACACATCGACAGAGTTATGTGTGTGTGTGTGTATTTGTGTGCTTTGTTTGTATTCAAAGTCCACAAACGCCAGTCACGCATTGGAATAAGCCCATGCAAGTAACCATAGCAAATGTGCGGGCTTTGGCCCCAAAAGCCGACACACCGACGCCCACACCCCCTCACTCCTCAATCCACATATGTATGCATGTGTGTGTGTGTGTGCTTTCTACTGTCCACTGTGCTCCAACACAACACAACAAAACAACTAAAAAAATCTCTGTGACACGCAAAAAAAAGCAAAAAAGTAAAGCAAGCCAAAGCAAAATGCAAAACAACGTAGAAGCACACACATACACACACACAAAACACAACCATACACGCTAAAAAAAAAAAAAAAAGAAATAGGAAATATTACATCGAAATCCACTGACAGTGTTGCCACATGGTGTTAATTAATTTTTCACACACGAAAATGTTGCCACAGCTTTTTCTAAAAGTGAAAACGTTTTTTCTTTTGCATAGATAAGCGAAAATGTTGCAAAAGAAGTTAGATGATATATGCGTATATAGATGTGGGATCTCGGAATGGAAAAAAAATATGTTAGCTCTTTAAGATTTTTTAGTAATAAACATTAGTTTTTATTCTGAGCTTTGATGCATTTGGATTATGGCAGGAAATTTTTTTTTTTATATTTGTTAAATATTTTATACACTCGTATCCATATTTATTTGTCAAATCCACATTCGCTTCACTATAATTATTTTCTTATATACATACATTCTACTCAATTAGATGGCATGAGAGTCTCATCCCAATCGTAAACATGCCCATAAAATACTTCGCCAAAGGTTGATTAGTATTCTAGTCGAAAAATATTGAATTTGACAAATGAAAGAAATAAATGAGTTATCTCGAAATAATGGATCTTTTAAAAAGAGTCTAAGAATTACATTTTTTTTTTTTTTTTTTTTTAAATTTTTTATTATTATTTATGTTAATTCTATTTTATTTGTATTATTTTTAATTTGTTTAATTTTTGATTATTAAGATCAGCTTTTATCGTCAAAACGAAATTCCTTAGTGAGCGACCCAATTCATATTCGGCTAGGTTTACTAAGTTAAGAGATTTATTTGAATCGAAAGATTATGCATACTTTATAAAAATGAAATTAAAAAAAAAATATATATATATATATATATATATTTTTTTTTTAATAGTTTTGCTTAGTGTCTTAGACCTTGTTGCGCATTTCTTATTAAACTTCAATTAGTGAGGAAGCCTGTTACCCAAATATAATTCTCAGATCTACAATAAATTATTACGGATTCTATTCTACAACACTTCCAGCTCTGCAGAATTCTTTTCTGCGCTGGAATCCTTTTCTTCCTCGCAAGTTGTTAATCATAGCCCGCTTTAATTCGAGTTGGCTTAAATGCGCAGCCTGACTATTTGTGTATTTGCTGCTGAGTCACAAAGTACTAATGTGAATATCCCTAGATCTAGGGATATACAGAGGTGGTCAAAAGTAATTACACACCGAGCTTTTTTCTGCATGCTCAGCTTTAAAAGCTTGTTGTTGTTGTTGTTGTTCGCTGTTTTTGAAAAAAAAGCTTTTGTGTCATAAAGCTTATTCTGTGTAGAAGCGATCGGCAAAAAGAAATTGCTAAAATAACGGTACAGGTTCGTAGATATAGCAAAAAGAACAGTTACCTAGAGGTTGTCAAAAGTATTTACACACATTTTTTTGCGTCATAAGTATTTACACAAAATTTAAACATTTTTTAATGGCATTAATTAATGTTATTTATTTTTAATTTTTGTTGAACATAATAAAGGGTTTATTTATTTAATTTAGTATTTTGTCATTCCCCCTTTTTCGTCAATTACAGCCTGAAGCCTGGCTGGAATTGATGTTACCAATGATCGGGCGAAGTCAACTGTGAGCTCCGACCATATTCCGGTAACTTCCCTGAATGGTATCATCCCGTTTCCGGTCCTTTTTGAATAGCCGTTTGGATTTTATTAAAGCCCAAACATTTTCAATAATGTTAAGGTCCGGACTTTGCGCAGGCCAGGGCAGGATTGCTTGATCTAAGTCCGCCAAAAACTTGGTGGGTATTGAGCCTTTGTGGCATGGAGCATTGTCTTGCTGCAATACCCATTCGATTGTTGGAAATAGTTTGTTCGCCGAAGTAAAAGCATTGTCATTTAATATGTGCAAATATCGTGATTGGGTCAGAGTGCCCTCTATTGGCACAAAATCTCCAAAACCATAGTACGACATGCAACCCCAAAACATTACTGTGCCACCTCCAAACCTGCTAAGAGGCTGCACTGCAGTTTTTTTATTTTGTCGACTTAAATGCATAAAAGTCTTTCGAAATGAGCCTTGAAACTGAAATGCAACCTCATCTGTCCACAAAATGTTGTACCAAAACTCCAAAGGCTTTTCAATGTACTCTAAAGCAAAAGCAAGACGTTTTGCTTTGTTTGCTTCCGAGATATCAATGATTTTTCGGACGACATAGGTGTTTATGTCAACATCCTTTAACCTTCTACGAATAGTAGCATCACTGACATGTTTACCAATTATCTGTTGTGATGCTGCAGACACTTTTAACTGGGCTTATCTCGGGGTTTTCTACGAATGTGCTGACAAGTCTTCTGCATTCCCTGGTGTTCAATGCTGGCTTTCGCCCACTTCGGTGTAAATTATTCAAATTTCCAAGTGTATCCCTTTTGTTAACCAAGTTATACACCGTTTTTCTAGATATTTTGAATATCTTTACCAACTCCGATGCCCCAACACCACTCTTAAACTTGGTTACGATCTCGGATCTTGTTTCGACTGATAGTTCCTTTGTTTTTACCATTTTACAGCACATCTACAATTTCAACTACAAATTGAATTCCGATCTTAGTCAAAGACCGCACATGATCAACGCAAATCAAAGACTAAAGGCAAATTTACATTGTGTAAATACTTATGACGCAAAAAAAATGTGTGTAAATACTTTTGACAACCTCTAGGTAACTGTTCTTTTTGCTATATCTACGAACCTGTACCGTTATTTTAGCAATTTCTTTTTGCCGATCGCTTCTACACAGAATAAGCTTTATGACACAAAAGCTTTTTTTCAAAAACAGCGAACAACAACAACAACAACAAGCTTTTAAAGCTGAGCATGCAGAAAAAAGCTCGGTGTGTAATTACTTTTGACCACCTCTGTATGTTTGATTTATCTGCTGTTTATAAACATTTGCATCGTCTAAATCGAGAGCCATTATATAAATTCTGCTATTCTGCCAAAATAAGAGTTAATATTGTATACCCTTTATTACAAACTGAAATCCAATTTTATATACCCAAAGTTTTGCGAGTTGAGTAGTCCACCAAAATTGTCTAACCCAATTCTGTACCACTAAGAGCAGTCATTTGTAATATATATACACGTTTCAATGGCAACTCTACGGCTTTTTTATGCCGTGAAGTTCAATTGAAATGAAACTAAAAAGCAAAATCTAAAAGCAAATTCAAACACAAAATACAAAACACAATCGCAAAAGCAACAACAACAACAACAAGCCGCAGAAGGGGCAACGGCAAAGCAAACGCAAAGGCAAAACGGAACAGCAAAAAATGCCATTTTTGAGCGGGTCAGAAGTGCGGCGCGCGAGCGAGACGGCACGAGCCAATGGAAAAAATTGTTTCCTGTGACAAGGCGGCCACGAAAAAAAATGTTGAAGGGGAGGCTGCGTGGAAAAAATGCACAGCAAATGGAAATGGAAGAAGTGCAGAAACGAAAAAAATTGAAAAAAAATTCGAGCGGGGCGAGCAGAGCAGCTGAAGCGTATGGAGTAGAAGTCGAGGCAAGGTTGCAGCAGCAGCAGCAGCATCCAGCCGCAGCCGCAGCCACAGCAGCAGCAGTAGCAGCTGGGAGAAAAAAAAAAAAAAACAACTTAGGAATAGCAGCGACGAGCAGCAGACAAACGACGGCTGCAGCGCAGCTGAAAGAGTTCGCTTTGTGTGTGTGTGAGTGAGTGAGAGGGTTGTGGAGTGGGGAGTGTGGGTAGCGAGAGGTGGAGACTGCTGGCAGTTAAGCCACGCGGTGGCTTAGGTCAGGACAGAGGCTGACTGAGGTGTGCGCTGCGTAGCTCTGTGTGGGTATGAGTGTGTGCGTGTATGAGTGTGTGTGTGAAACATTTTTTTCAGTTTTGCTACGCTTTCGAGCTGCTAGACTGATAGAGTGCTCCAGCGCTTGACAACACTGCGCTTCACATTGCAGTGTGACCAGCGCTGGCTGCGAGCTGCGGCGGCGGCATTAAAAAAACTGTTGCCTACTTTTATGCGCCGTCAAATATTCTATTACACAAATAGCGCGTGACAATAACAATAATTGCAATTATAATAGCAATTATTTGCAGCTGAATTAGTTAATTTATTGCACACTTTCCCCACTTCCACACGCCCTCTATTTCGACTTCGCCAGGCCGCCAAAAACCAAAACCAAAACCAAAATGCAAAGTCAAATTGCAAAAAGCTCTTCAATGCAAACGCCATGAAAAAAAATGATAAAAAAACAAACGGCATCAAAGTCGAACAAAACAAAATGATGGAAAAAATGCCATGGTCTGGGCTCGAGTACACGGGGCGGCAAGTGGGGGAGCGGTGGGCGAGGCGGTAAACTGAGGGGCAGCCAGCAAATTTGGGGGCGGTAAAGGCTAACACGAAGCTGCCAGCGAAAAAATTCCGTGCGTTTGTATGTGTATGCGAGCGTGTGTGTTTGTGTGCGTGGGCAAAACTTCCCCTTTTTTAAATTTTTTACTCACACACACACAAACATACACACAATACTTCCTCTTTTTTATTTTGCGAGTTTTTTAGAGCCCATCGGTTGGCTCCAAACTTGCCCCACACCAAATTGAGTTTGGGTCAATGTTGACGGCAAGTGCTTGCTGTTGTTGTTGTTGTTGTTATCGTTGTTTTGGCGCTGCTCTGTCAGGTGGCTGCGACGCGGGCAGC